ACACGCTCGCCCGCTCTCGCTCTCTTGGGGACAAGAGCGGACACCAAACGTCAATTTGGCGTTTCTGTCAGAGCAAACTGTCGCATCCGCTGAGCGGATGAGGGGTCGAGGGACAGATACATATACCAAGGCAGAGGCAGAGGCAGAGAGCAGGGAGTGGTGGAAACTAACTAACTAAAGTGTCATACGCGCTTGATGCCAGACTAATATCTGCGGACCGCCGCCGCGTCAGCTGCATTTGACACTTGTGCGTAGCATGGCGTGGCATGGCGTGGCGTGTTACAAGTATTTACGATATGCCCCGGGAACTCGACCGATTTCTGGCGATTCTGGGCGATTTCTTTGTTTCTAATTTCAATGGATAGAATGAATGAATGGTGGTGTCGGTGTCGGAGTCGGAGTCAGTGTCCCTGGCAATCTGTCGACCTCCCTGTCCGTCCATCTGTCTCTCTGTCTGTCTGTCTGCCCTGACTTTCTGCCTGAGTGTGTTTCTGTCCTTCTGTCCTTTGCCTGTCCCTGTCCCTGTCGCTGGCACTGTCTGTCTTCTTTCTGGGAATAGTTCTGGTTCTGGGTCCTGTCTCTTTTATGTGCTTCCTCGTTATTTTGGTTGACAATCAAATTCAAACGAAATTGGATTCCCTTGTTCTTGGGCACGCTCTGTTGGGCCCTGACCTCCTTACCCTCATCCTCACCCTTACCCTCATCCTCTAGTAAAATATTAAAAAATGGCAAATGGAAAATGCAAAAAAAAATCAAGTAAATTGCCTGCAATCGCAATTGTTTTTCCTCTTTGTCCGGCAGCATGTGTGCTGGCAGTTATTTTTTTATTTTCTTTTTTTTTTTTTGTATTTGGACTCAGCATTTTTAATGCGAAAATCATTTCAAAAATTGTTTGCCAGCGATATTTATTTTGGAAAAACAACAAAATGTAGTTATCGTTGTGCCCCGGGGAGGATGTACTAGAAGGAGAAGCACCCATGCCCATACCCATTTCCATTCTATTATTTCAGCTGTCAGACATTTCGACACTTGAAATTGAACGCGTGTGATATTTTCATTTGGTGGCAGGGAAAGGAAAGGGTCGGTCGCCCTGCAGTCGGGTTTGTGGGAGATATGCCATGCCCCCAGGACGAAAAAAAAAAGAAGGGAATATAAAAAGGGAGCGAAAGAAATTTGCACAACAGGAAGCTGTAATTGGCCCAGGAGCGCTTAAGTAAACAGCGCCAAAGCCAAAGCCGAGGCCGAAGCCAGACCCAGGCGCAGGCCCAGGTCCAGACAGGGGAGAAACAACAATTGGAAGAACAGCAGCTGTTGGCTGATAAGGTCGCACCCAGAGCAAGAGCAAGAGCCAGAGCCAGAGCCAGGACTGGAACCCAGCTCCTTACACAATGCCAACTGATTGCCGTCTTGCGTGTTCATTCGGGGTTTCCTTTCCTGCCAGCCAGCGAGGGCGAGGCTTATTAATTATGACGGACCATGAATTGATAATGGGCGCAGTCCCAACAGGGCCGGCCACGGGAGGCGTGCACCGAAGCCACTAACGAAAAGCAAACCGTCCCTCACATGAGCCACATTAGCGGCAGGCCATATGCACTTGATTGGTTTTGGCCACAGATAGACTGCCTAATGGCAATGGAAATGGAATGGAAAAACTCTATAAAAGTTCTCGCAAACAAAAACGAGAAAATGGTTTGATATTGGAAATATATAAACAAAATATAACACGAAATATAACAATCAATCTGATTGAAACCAGAGTCTGCAGCTTATTTTACATTCGTAAATAAAGATGCCAATACATCCATAATATCCCACATAAATCAGTGGAATTTAAAACTGAGAAATAAGTGAAATATAAGTGAAATTGATGCCTTAAGTGCTGCGAATTTAATTTGTATTTTGAGCTAATTTAATTCCTGATTATTCACAAAACTATTCAGATATAGAAAATTGTAATTAAAATAAACCCATCGTGTTCTGACTACATTTCGGATGGATTGCGCTACGAGTATATGTATTTTTGCCGTTTTCAGGGAACTCACGAATCGTCGGTGGTGCCTGAGATGGTGGTCGGATGGTTCCGTTGCCCTTCCCTAGGTGAGATCAGACAACAGCTGGCACCGAGTGTCCCCGTCTCTTTCTCAATCGCTGCTGGCAAAGTTGTGGCACTGGCAACATGGAGGGGCCTGGGCAACATCAAAAGCCCGTTCAAGTGGCGGCTGCCACTTTTCAAAAGTGCGAAATTAAAACAAAATGTTGCAAGATGCTGCGGGCTTTGCCACTGCTGCTGCCGCTGCCGCTGCCTCTACCTCCGACTACGAGTCCAACTCCTCCTCTGACTTCGTCTTGGGCTCTTTGATCCCGTTTGGCTGATAAGCCGAGGCGGACCGGGCTCTTCACATCATGCGTAAAACGGCGTCAAAATGCAAATGTTGCGCAGGAAACTGCCGGCCAGGCAGCTCTGCTCTGCTCCGCTCCGCTCCCTTTAGCCCCATCTGCCATCCCCTATCCCCATCCCACAGTCAGGCCGCAGCGCAAATAAACATTTTGCGTTTTAATTTATGTTGCAATGTTTGTGGCTGTGCGGCTGTTTGGCCGTTTGGCCGTGTGGCCGTGTGGCAGTGTGGAGCATGGGGAGCATTTTATTGCACATTTGCTCGGGGCCCACATTGCAAAATTTATCATCAACTACACACTAAATGGGCAAAATGGGCAAAATGGGCAAAATGGGGCCACCATTCCCATCAGCATCAGAAGCAGCACCAGGGGTAGTGGGAGTGGGAGTGGGGGCAGCGGCCAAATAAGTTTTCCGCTCTAAAACTATGTAAAATATTTGGTTATGAAAACTCTTTTATACGTTCCTTTTTTTGGGAATGGCAGAAATGTTGCTGCTGGTGCGGTTTGATGCCACAAAATTGCTTCTTTCTGCGTTTAATAATATTGTGTAGAAATTCCCAAGGATCGGGAGGGAGGTTTCCAAACATGAAAGCATTCAAAGTACATTGATAGATGCAGTTTTAAATTGAATTTAAAGCAGGCACGTAATATTCCATAAGAATAAGTCACTCAACTGCTGCCATTGCCCCCATTGACCCCTGGAAGTGGCTAACACTTAAGCAGTGTATTATCCACAAAGTCTAATCCCTCGAAGCATATTCCCAATGTTTGTGTTCTGAGGCGCCAAACCTCCCGGAGAGCGCGGACTCATTTAAAATTGAAATGTGAAAATAATGCAAATTAATGCTAAGGTAACATTTTGTTATGGCATCGCCGATAAACAACGAGAGCGGAGAGCAGCAGCGGCAGCAGCAGCCTGTTTCGACAGTTGCTGGAAGAGAGGCAGTGGACACACCTTGCGCCATATACGGGTACACCTCACGGAGATCCTATAGCTGAAGGGAAAGCGGTACGTGCATGTGCATGTGGACGTGGACGTGGGCCTGGGACAAGGACAACAGCATGTACATGTTAATTACTTGTGAAAATATGCAACAGACGGCAAACGGCAACGACAACGGCAACAACATCAAGGGCAAGAGAAAGAGCAAGAGCAGGAGTCGGCAGTTGCCATGAGGTAGACTCTTTTTTCACACCAGCCCAAACAACTGCAACGAGCAGTGGGCAGGGGGCAGGGGGCAGGGGGCAGGGGATGGATGAGGGACTTCGGATCGCACTGGCCTCATGTGCCCTTCAAAGTAAACTGCCTGGACGGACTGCCTGAACGGGGCAGTTTCTAAAGGCAGTGGCCCTGCCGTGCTGTCCCTCTGGTCTCTCTTTCTCCCGGCCTGCTTCCGTTTCTATTTCGGCTACGGGTCCGGTTGGCGTCTGTGTGTGTGTATGTGTGTGCGGGCATACTAATTACAGCACAGCCCCCCAACCCGAGCCCGACGTGCCGTACTGCCTTACTGCCGTGTGGATGTGGTTGTGGATCTTTAATCGCTTCCCCCAGAACCCAACCTTTTGGCGGCGCTCATTAAGCGAAGGCAGCCGCACAGAAAAACCAAAACAGAACAGAACAGAAAACAACTTCAAATCACACGTCGTACACATTTTTGTTGTGTTATTTTTTATTACATTTCGGGACTGCTGCCGTTTTGTGCTGAGTATGAGTATCTTTCGGCCAGGCTAGGCCCGGCCTAATTGCTTTTTATGACAGTCGAGTGAATATGATAAATCTTTCGCCCGGCCCCGACATTATTTCGACATTTGTTTGGCTAGCAACATTCTTGGCAATTAAATTTATGTTTGTATTTCTGCCGCTTCCTTCGCACCAAATAATACTTGACATGTGTTGCCTGATGGCACTGCCCCTGCCACTGCCGCTGCCACTGCCACTGCCCCTGCCACTCCTCCAACTATGTACTCGCATCCATCAGGGCATCCGTTCAACCATCCCCCACTTCAGATGCTTAATGAGAGGCCAAAAAGTGTCAGCTGTGCAAGTGCCTGACATTTATTTGCAATTGGCTTGAGGTTTGGACTTGGGATTGAGACTGAGACTGAGAGACTTAACACAATGTGGCACTGCCACTGGGACTGGCACTGGGACTGGCACTTGCACTGGGACTCTCAATCCCATTCAAGTGGGAAGCCCTGCTGCAATGGGTTAATTTTTGTCGAGGGTAACTTCTGCGGGTGCTGCGGCCAATCAAAGTGTGCCCACTTCAATTGGATTGAATGCGTTGAACAGATTGGGGCAAGTGTGTCAGGTCCATCGTCCAAATGAAGGGCTGGGGTGTGACAAAGGGCCTGAGCAAGCACCACAATGGTGTGTTTGAATGTCTAATTTAAGTTGAATGCTCGTTGGGCTGTCTGTGTGTGGGTTCGTTGGGCATTTTCTGGGTCAGGTAAAGGCCTAAAAAGTGAGTTTCACCCAAGTACGAATACGAATACGAGTAGGAGTACGAGTACGAGTACGGGTATAAACACAGCTCTTACGAGTGGCTTACATAAATCACACTCGACCAGTAACATTCATCTGAATGCAATTTCTCTTTCAGCAGCGTGTTGCACACACTTCTGAGGACTGGCAATATTGGCATACACGGAGGAGGAGGAGGAGGAGAGCTGTGAAAATGTTTCGACACATTGTGAACTTCACAAACAAATACAAAATCCTCAGGGGCATGATATCGTACGGCACCCTCTGGCCCTGCGGCTGCCTCATCGAGCAGACGATGATCGAGAAAAAGACATTCCGAACGTACGACTGGATGAAGTGTCTCAGGTGGGTCAGCGGTATCTTACGCATAATAATAGCACCGCTAATTGGCTCTCTTGCTGTCCGCTCGCTGCAGGTTCAGCCTTTTCGGCTTCTTCTTCATGGGCCCCACAATATACGTGTGGATCCGACTGGCCGGCGTTATGTGGCCACGCACGGACATTAAGTCATCGCTGTGCAAGGCGATCACCGAGCAGACCGCCTACGACCCGATGGCCATCAGCTCGTTTCTCTTCACCATGACGCTGATGGAGGGCAACTCGTATGCCCAGGCCAGGCAGGAGGTGGGTGGCTCCAAACAACGATCGTCCATCCTCCCACCCCCACGATCCATCCAGCGATCCATCTTCTATTCTATTCTATTCTGTTTGCTCTGCTCATTGCTCTGTGCCTTTGTCCAGCGTCCAATTAGTTATCGCCTCGGCTGTGGTCTCGTTCTCAAGATTATTTATTTTGAAATTGGGTCTCGGGTTACCCGCTCTCCGCTCTCCCCTCTCCGTTCTACGTTCACTCGCTCGCCGCAATTCGGTGTGTGGGTTTTGATTTCGGAAATCCATTTTCTCACGACAGATACAGACAGTCGCAGTCGCAGTCGCAGTCGCCGTCGCCGTATCTGTATCTGCGGCCCAGCATCTGCGGCTGTAATGTAAGCATGCATAAATATCACCTGTCTGTCTGTCTGCCTGTCGCTGGGTCTCTCCCTCTCCCTCTCTCTCTCTCGCCAGCGTGTGTCTGCCACCATCTCGATCTCGGTCTCCATCTCTGAGTCTGGCCCTGTCTCTGTCTCCATCTCCGTCTCCGTTCCGAGTTGTCAACATTGATTTGTTGGCTTTGCGGCCATACTTTGAGATACTCGCACTCGCTTGCCCCCCCCCCCCTACTCTGTCCCCATCCCGAGTGCCCATCGTCGTCGTCGTCGCCTTGCAACCGTCTCTCTGTCTGTCTGTCCCTCTATCCGTCTGTCCGTCTGTCCGTCTGACTTCTATATCATTAGAAACCATTTATCTTGATAAATGTAAATGTTTTACCATATATTTATGTCAAACGTGCGTTGTCTCATTTGCTTTGCATGCGTTGCCCCCAAAGATCTATGGCCCGGGTTTCCTGGGGTGATTGGCTCTGGTCCGGTCCCGGTCTGGGCAGAGGTCCGCGAAAGAGTTATGTGAGCGGCCAATGAAGATGTCGGCGGCTCCCAGACCAAGCTTGAAAGTTGTCCACTGGAATTAGTGCTGCAGCAGATGCCACTGAACAGTCATAAAAGAACTCCCCAGACCATCATCAGCATCAGCATTAAGCTAGTCTGAAATGCAAGCCTTAAATTGAATGAAAAACCTTAATTTATGCAAAATTTAAAATGAAATGAAACACAATTGAAACCCATTATTGGCATGTGATTTGTAAAGAGCTCAAATTGAACTGCTTTTCGAATGGATAGCCCCCAATCGAAACCAGATTCCTTTCATGGCTACATGCACAGAATGGCCGGGGGCAAATTCAATCACTTCAAATGCTAAAAATCAGGTTACATTTACCCCAGATTTACTACTGGCCTGGTTTTCCCATACTGCCGCCCATACTAGAAACGAAATTATTATTATTTAAATGATTTTCCATGCGACGCGAAATATTGCACTGGAATGGAAAATTGTGCAGACACAAAGGTTGGATGTTTTATAATTAATTAGCAGACCCCGACAACTGCCGCGATGCTGACTTTTAACTCCACTCCGACCCGCTCCGTGTCCCTGTCCCTGGCCGTGGATATCATTTACAAATTTACACACAATTACGGGCCTGTGGCGCTGGGGCGGAGAGGTAAATGCTGGCAAAAAGGGAAAATTTTCCATGCCGTCAATGCCTTTTAATTAACAGCATTAACAAAAATGCCACGCCCTGGTCTAGGGCCCCTGCCCCTGCCCCTGGCGTCCTGGTCTCGGCGCGGAATAAAACCAGAAAACATTTTCACAGAGAGGAAGCCGCAATAAATAAAATTTTAAAGGTCTCCTGCAAATGCTCGCCCGACACTTAATTACAATTTTCCGCGCTGGCATTTTCCAACAGCAACACCAACCCCCACCATTTCACACACACATTATGTCATTGCTGCGCTCTCATTCTCCCCGTGGACTATACTTCTGCTCGTTTCTACATCCCCAGGTTAGCGATAAATTCCTGGACGCCTATAAGGTGGGCGTTATTTATTGGCCCTGCGTGCAGACGGTGAACTTTGCCTTTGTCCCGGCACGGAACCAGGTCGTGTTCACCTCGTTCTTCAGCATGTGCTGGACCACGTTCCTGGCCTACGTCAAGTTCCTGCAGCTGCATCCCGCCGTCGATGTTGACCACCATGCCCTGGACATACACTTCCTGGAGATGTGAGCAGACACCAACCAGCACAAGCCCAGCCGCAGTAGAACCAAAAACACAATTAAGTCTCCCCGCTCTTCCCAGCGATAATGTAAACAGACACGCCCACCAATAACACGCCCCCCCCCCACCCCCATAGAATAAGTTAATGACATGTCACTTCTCCTTTTTTTCCATTTCTCTTTTTTTCTCTTACATTTATTTTGTTGTGGGCCATAAAAAAAAGAGTATAAATATATGTATATATAAAACATCCATTAACTGCGCCCGATAAATGAGTTGTGATAAGTTTGTGGCTTTTTTCCTCTACGTAAAATTGAATTGTTCCAACGCACTGAACTGATTGCAGTTTCTGTTTTATTTTGGTTGGTATTTTTTTATTTTTTTATTTACCATCACGCCATTAAAGTTGATAATTAGCGATGGTTTCTGGTGTTCTGTATTAGAAACAGAACAGGCTGCGGTTCCACATCTGGTCTCATGGGCAATGGAAATAATTATGGGCGGATAACTCTCAATGGTATACATTCACAGGGCCACATTCTATCTTCTAAAAAGTCCCCTAGATCATAAAAAGGGTATTCATGTATATAACCCCCTGCAAAAAAATCGATATATTTATGTATCTAAATATACAGATGTATATATAAGATATATTAATTAACCGCCGCAATCGCCCATTGAGCATCTGCGTGACCTCCTTGAGCGCAGGACACGACCAGCACACGCCATTAAATCTAAGGTTATTCTGAAGAAAATCATTGTAGCAGAATGGAGCCAAATAACGGTAGGGAGTACCAAGAAATTGGCCTAATCAATGCCAAATTGGTTGGCCGAATGTATAAAACTTCATCCTTATTTCCTACCACATTTTTAAAGAAAAGTGAATTTTCTTTGGTCTTTTTTACGCATACTTTTTTCCAATTAAAAATCAGAAGAATTTTTTACATTTTGCTTTATATTATGAAAAGTTTAAAAGTTAGAAGTTGGAAAGTCTAATCAAAATAAGACCTATTAAACGTAACATTATTCCTACAAAAGCTAAAATTCCTATATCTTATTTAACACGTGTCTTTGAACGACAAAGTTGCACAAAATGTTTGTACGCTTTTTGTGGTAACCTCTGCCAACTTTCATCGAAATGCGACTAGCGAAAATGGTTGCATAAATTTGACTTCTATTGACCCGCATCAGCATTTATCAAAATTAATATTTATTTGTTGTTCGCTCTTTTTGTAGTTGTTGTTGTTGTGGTGGGGATCTGGGCTCCATTAAAATGCATACGTAACATCTATGCATATTATATACATAGTAAATATGTATGTACGAGTGTATCTGTGTGTGTGGGTTTTGTGGGTTCGTTGAAGTGGAACTGTTGCCTGGGGGGGACGCGGATGACTACGAGTACCTAAGTGGTCGTGCTGAATGCGAGAGCTGAATGCATAAATAATGCCGATTTAGATTATTCTGAAACTGAAACAGAAACATCATCTGGCAGCTGTCTGGTCTCTGGCCTGCATTTGGATTTGGGCAAAAATGCGGCAGAACAGAGCTTGGCGGTGGCAGTGGCGGTGGCGCTGCGCTGCGCTGCTCTGCTCTGCTCTGGTGATGACGAGGCCATAATCAGCCAAATTAATATGGAAATTTATGCTGAGAGAAAAACCAAACCGCAAAAGTAAACGCACAACGCAAACCCCAGAGCCGGAGCCAGAGCCACAGCCAGACCCCAAACTGAAACCCAAACGCATGTGGGTTCTGTTATCAGGGCAGGAAAACGTGGCGCACTTCCTGGTCGGTGGGCCTCTCCCCCTCCCTCTCCCGCTACGTCTCCCTTGTACATTGCCAAGCTGTGAAAAAACAATTGGAACAAAAGTTTCATTAAATTTCGTACAGCCCTCGGCTGGCAGGCCAATTTCCTATCCGCCCAGCGCCCATTTCTCAGTGTCTTGCTCTCGGATCTGCCTTCTGGAGCTGCCGCTGCGCCCTGCCGCCATCGTTATAGCTGCTTTATAGCGCATTAATTTCGAAAGTAGCGCTACGTGTGCCAAAAATCATTAGCAACGGAATTACGCTCAATGAAATGCAGTCGACGTCGCCGACGACGGCAAACAAAAAGGGGGAGATAATAAAGCGTGGCCGGGTTCCCGACTGGGAACCGGGGACCGATCCGAGTCGATGTCGATGTCGATGCCGATGCCGGAACAGGGAATCGGGTGAATGGTGAAGGGTGAGGGGTGAGGAAGGGGACGACACCCTGCCTGACACCCGCCCGGCAGCCGCTGACGTTGATGTTGCCGCCGCTTATAAATTTACCCTAACGACAAGTTAAATGCTGAATACAAAATGCTGCAGCCAAGGGTTCCCATTTCCTATTTCCCACTTCCCACTTCTTACTCGCATTCAAATAAATACCCGAGACTTTTCAGGCAAGATGTACGACTAGCAAAAAGACTAGACCTAGTCCAGTGTGCTGCCAGATCTCAGATCAGAGATATATGTGCATAATTCTAATACTTCCTAGCAGGGGGAAATGTCATTTTCCTTGGCCACTTTCCCACTCGAGTGGCAAGCGATGGAAACTCGCGGTGAATGTGCAGAAAACAATAATGATTTGCACTGGACTCGAGTGCAATGTTGGCCGTAATCTTATCGTGTGGGTGGGTGAGTGAGTAAATCATTATCTGATAATAGGCTGAACTAATTTGCTGAATGAAATTAGGCAAATGCGAGGCGCGGTGAGTCAGAGTCGGTTCGGTTCAGTTTGGTTATAGCGGGGCAGGAGCGTGCACACGGCGCGGTATGTTCATGTCCAAGTCCAAGTCCTTCGATCTGGTCAGTGAGGAGAAGACGAGGAGGGCGGAGCGGCTCTACCAGCCGCGACGGCTGCGCTGGCTGAACTACATCGTCCTGCCCGCCGTCTTTGGGTTTGTGCTGCTGCTGATCCTCTGCAACGTGGACTTCTCCTACGACGACGATGCCGATGCCGATGCCGATGATGCCGCAGCGGAAGTTCGGGACTTGGTTCCCGAGGCACATTTGATTGTGATCAGCGAACTGGAGCAGATATACAGCCAGAGCGAGTGTGCGAACGAGAGCGCGCTCTATGTTTCCGGATACGAATTTGCGAACGGCAGCCTGGATGGGGACTTCCTGAGTGGCAGCTTCCGACTGCAGAGCCTGGAGATAGCCGACTGTGACCTGAGACGCATAGAGGACGGCGCCTTCGACCAGAGCAAGCAGCACGGCCTGGTGAGCCTGCGACTGCGGAGCATCCAGCTCCAATCTCTGGCCCCAGCGGCCTTCCGGGGACTCCAGCACCTGCAGAACTTTACGCTGATCAACGCGGAGGAATCCTTTGCGGCGGAGGGCTTTCTGGCGCCCACTTGCCAGCACCCTGCTCAGTGCCAGCATCCATCAGAGGTACTCCGCCAGCGTCTCCTACTCTGTCGGCGACTTCCTTGGGGGCGGGAGATTCGATCAGCTGAAGCTGCTCGACCTGAGCGGCACCAACCTCGGGCAGCTGCTCGCCTGGGACTCCTTCGACTGCCTGCCCGCCCTGGAGCGACTCATTTTGGTGGATTGTGGCATTGGCCAGGTGGACTGGGACTCGTTTCCCAGCAGTCTCCGCTCACTGCAGTACTTTGACCTGAGTGGGAATCCACTAGACACAGCCAGGGGCAATCCTGGCACCACCCCCACGATTGGCTGGGAGAACGAGCAGGACCTGGTCTATAGCACAGCTCAAGCGATGCTCGTCACCCAGGGGATTCAGGCCTTCGCTCCTGAGTCTAGAACCACCACCTCCACGACTCCGGCACCAGTTGTCTGCTCGGCAGAACTGTGCGAAGTTCTCGTCTGCAGCGAGCCCGAGGGAGGATCCATCGAGACGCGGCTGGACTACAACGCGTCGCTTCAGTTCCGGGATCTGGGCAACGATGAGGTGCAGGTCAGGCTCTCGCATCTGGAGTCCCTGCAGTGGCAGCTGGTGTACTTCTCCACAGCCGCCTGGAGCGGCTATGTGGAGCAGGAGAGCGCCGAAGGGAGCACTGATTCCGACGGCGATCTGGTGGTGGGGGTCACCAACTTGGACTGCGGCACCCCCTTCGTCTTCTGCGTGGTGATGGCGGGCCAGAATGTCACCTCCCCACTGAACTGTCGCTCGCACAGGACCCTGGAGTGCGCGAAACACCTCCCGGTGTCCTGGTTCGAGGCCAACAGCGGCCTGATCATAGGCCTGGGAGCAGTGGGCGTTCTCATCTGTGTGGCCTTGGGCATGCTGATCGTGTACGTGGCCCTGCGACTGCAGCCGAAGTGGCTCAGGGGCAGCCGCCGACTGGTGCGTCCCCTGCGGGACTCGAACACGATGTTTCTGGTGCCGAAGGGATGCGAGCACGAGGAGTACGGCTACCAGGGGTAAGATCCTGCACACCCCACCATTTATTTTCCGCATAATGTTTGTCTCTCAAAGGAATCCCACCGCCAGGAACGACCATTACGACTACGTGGCCTTCCACCGCCACTTGGAGCAGGCGAATCTCTACCAAACGGAATCGAATAAGTACATATGCCCGCCCCGGGAGCGGGCTCCGTCCGTGCCCCCATCCGGCGAGGCAGCCGCCCAGAAGAACTACGTCTACGAGAGCTTCGAGCTGTACGAGGAGCTGCCCCAGCAGGCGCCTTGACCTTCGCTCCACACACACACACTCGCACGCATACAGTTATGGCTGCGGCTAATTGATTGCTGATCGATTGGCCGATCCAAATTCATTTGGCCGATAAGGCCTGTACACGGGCCACAACAATGGCCAGCAATAAAGGGGCAGAGGGTCCCATGCCACATAGTTTTAGAGGCCCCCATAAAAATCGGAGTAATCAGAGTCTAATATCAGTTCCATTGCCGAGGAACGAAAGCTAAATAAAAGATATTTTAACGAACAGTAACACAAACTCGAACGAACAAAACAGAACACAATCAATTGAAATACGTAATTTTGGAAGAGTCAAAGGCATGCCTGGGTATCTGGCGATTTTTGTGACACTTCGCGAATGCCCACAAGGCCTTCGAGTAGTGCCAATCGTTGACTTCGAGGGCCCCACGGCTCCAATAGGAGTTCATACCCGTCTCCCGGCACAGCCTGGACACAAGAGCGCTGCGGCAGTTGTGGAGTGCAAGGGAGCTGCTCCTCTGGTGTGGCCTTGGGTGGAGCTCAGCGCCGTTCAGGATCTGCAGGCGCGGCAATATGTCGCGCACACTCCGTTCATAGTTGGCGGGCAGCAGATTGCCCCTGAGATCCAGCTCGATAAGCGGGAGAAGTCGGAAGACCTGCAGCTCCGACACACTGTCCAGACGGTTGTCCCCCAGGGAGAGGTACTGCAGCCGCGGAAAGCGACGCTCCACATCGTGGAACGGCCGCAGATCCCTCAAATAGTTCATGTCCAGCCGCAGGTGCAGCAGATGCGGCATTTCCTGCGCCACGATGCCGATCACAGCTCTCAGGCAGCAGGGCTGAGCCAGGGCACAAAACTCAGCCCTCCATTCGGGGGCCAGGTGGAAGAGGGCCAGGTCCAGGCTTTGACGGACGGGATCGTACCGCGAGCGCACGGCGTGCCGCAAGCGCTGACAGTACGCGGGAGTCAGCCGCATCCAGGGCGTCCTGCCGTTGACCCTGACCCTGAGGGGACCCAGCTGCTGTCTGCTCAGGCCTTGCAGCTCCCTGGCCTGCGTGTAGTCGTTCACATAGAACGTGAGGAAGGCGTCGGCGTCCTCCGTGGCGTCCGTCTCCCCACCCAGGTGCCCATACCGAGGATCCAAGTAATGGGGCCGCAGCTGCCGACCCAGTCTCCGCAGAACCCGTTTCATGGTCTCCCGGTGGTCGCTGGAGAAGACTAGCACGCGGTACCATCCATAGGCGCTGATGGCCAGACTGCCACGGCTCCTGCAAGGACCCGAGCTGCGTTCTGGCTTGGGTGTGGAGTGGCACAGGGGTCCGGGGCAGCGGCTGCCTCGTGTTGGGAACATCGTTGAGAAAACAGAAACAAAAACTTGGAAAAACTTGGAACTTGGATAAAATTTAAAGACATGAAAATCTGCTGAGAGTGGAAACAGTTGTGATGTTTTCCTGACTCGAGTAGATTCGAGTTTAGAATTTATGTGGGAGGGAAACTTCCACATGACTTGACAACTTCCACTTGAAATTTCCACTTGCTTTGGGGCCAGAATTTAATCATAAATGGAAACACTATCTACATGAGTCCGGAGTCCGAGTCCGGAGTCCGGAGTCCGGACCCCGGATACATCGTAGCTCCAAGCTGTGCCGCAATATCTCGCGATGTCTGGACGAAGTTTGCACAGTTCAATGCTTTCATTAAGCTTTAATGAGCCCCAGTTTTGCGACAACTGCAAACAAACTTCCTCTGAATGCGCCCCATTGTGTGCACAGCTTCAGCTTCGGCTTCAGCTGCCAGCCCAGACTATTCCCAACCATCCCCAACCAAAGATACACTCACACAGACTCGCAGTTGGTTTCTGTACAGTTTGTTGACTTGCCACAAGCACAATAAAATATTTTTGTAAGCACTTTTTATGGCTGACATATCTCTTAATATTACATATACACAGAGATATTTTTTGCCAATTTATTTCTGCCCCCATACCATCCTCATTCCCATCCCCATAGCTGTGTGTTTGCTTCGGTGCCCTGCAGGCTGTCGCTGCCATAATTTCCCAGGCACATCTCATCCCAGAGAACAAGAGCTGGCGATGGTGTGAGAGGAGAGAGGGAGAGAGAGAGACACACACACACACAGAGGGAGGGGAGGAGGAGGAGAGACTCTGTCAAAGTCCAGCCGAGTCTTGGCCATATGTTGCACACATTATGCTTACTTAACAATTAGAGACGCTCTTGTAATTCCAGAAAATTGCTTTGTTCGCTGCGATTTTTTCTCGTTTAGGGCGAGACGAGATGTGGCATCCAGGGGAGTGGCAGGGCAGGGCAGGCCAGAGCAGGGCAGGGAAGGAAGTGCCACAGAGTGGCTTTTGTGCTTGTTCTTTAGAAGTTCCCTTTGGTCACTGAGCTGTGAATGGTTATGAGCTTTAAAGGCAACGAAAATGCATTGATAACGAGGTTAGAGTCGGATGGGAATGGAAACTTCTTTGTGAAAGCAGGGACGTTGTTTCGAGGGGGGAAGGGAAAATTGGTTTCAATTCTCAACTCTTTGAAGATGTTTAGAGAACTCTTTCAATGAGAACTGACAAACTTTTTGTGGCAGCTGAGGGCTGAGGAGCTGAGGAGCTGAAGCTGGAGACGATAACATCATCGGAATCAAGTCAAGTGAGTCCCGCATAATTTCCATGGCTAACATTTCCACAAACACAGAGACAGGTCGCTGATGTTCTGAGAAAGGGAAACCCTACACTAACCACAGCCTCCAGTATGGCACAGTTCACTGATGATGTCGGGAAATGTGTTTTATCATCCGCTGTGTGCGGTGAGAGGGAAACCCTAGACGAGTGTCACAATTGAATGCATCTGGACCATCCCACATCCCACATCCCACTCACATGCGAGTTCATCTCGATCGACACTGGGCTCTCCAGATATCTATAGCCATGGCCATACAAATACGAGAATACGAGTGTCTATCAGGATTGATATTAATGATTTGCAGCAGAATGCCATTAACTTCCCTGTACTGCCCGATAACGTAGCGTGAAGAGATCGGGAAAATGGGAAAACTGCCTGATTGCAGGCCCTGGGCCGCAGCGGAGGCGTTGCCAGCCACATCTACCCCGAGATGGCGTGGCACAGGGAAGCCCCATTGAGCTGCAAATGAAATCAAAGACCCTTTTGCCCATATCCCTGATAACGGACACGGACGAGCCAGCGGACAGACAGTCAGACAGTCAGGGCCTGGCCTCATAACGTGGCATTTGTTTAATGGATTAAAAATAATAGGTACGAGGAGAAAGCAGCGCTGGGGCTGGGAGTGAAGGAAACGCAGATAAGAATCGTAGCACGTTGTGTGTGTGTGTGCGGCAAACGGAAAATGGGAGAATGAAAAAAAATGAGAATATATAGAATAGAAAATGTGCCGCGGCGTGTCATAAATTAATTTTCATAAATTCTGCAGCCTGTCTGATTCGGCTACGGATTGCGAACGTTACGGACGGTATCAGCATCAGAGCTGGGATCGGGATTGGCATTGGGTTTGGGATTGGAACTCGTATTAATAATAATGCCACACGGCTTTGATGGACAGACGGAGACAGAGACAGGGACAGACATGCAGTCGGGATTCGGCTGACAAAGGATTCGCCCTGACAATGGCTGGAGATGAAAGCCAAACCACTTTTATTCGAGTACTAACTACGCAAGGGTTGGAAGCCCCCCCCCTCGATTGTGGTTGCTACTAGTAGGAAAGTAGGAAAAGCAGAAGAGCAGAAGAGCAGGCTGGGAAGCTTTTAAAAAATTATGCAAAAATCATGATTAGGCAATTTCCCCGATGCTGGAACGGTCTGGCTATGGATAGAGATTGGGGTCTACCTCTGGGTATGGGTGTGGGTATGGGTCTGGGTATGGGTCTGGTATCTGTATCTGCTATCTGGTTTGCTAATTAGCCATTCATGGTGTGTTGTAGAGCGGCGGCGGCTGCCATGCCCGGGGAATATTTAAACAGTTGGCTTGTTCCCAGAAAACTGCGGCAAAAGTTTAATTAGTGCAGAGGAATGAATATGCCTTATGAATATGAAATATTAAATCCGCACACACAAATATCCATTCAGGCCCGACAGACAGACAGATATCCTTGAGACTCGCGGCGGTGGGCCGCCGCCGCCGCGTTGAGTTGGGTTTAAGTTTAATGAGCCCTAAGTAGAAGTGCTCCGCTTCGGTGCAGAGCAGAACAACAGAACAACAGAACAGCAAAATGTAGCAATTATGGAACGACCAAAAGCAAAAAATGCACATTAATGACAAAGGCAGAAAGAGTGAGTACTTTTGAGTACTCAAAGTACTCGGAAAGGGATGGGAAGGGATGGGATGGGAGTGTGGTGTGTTGAAGCTGCTGCTTAAGACTTGCTACAAACGAGGGGCACTCAAAAGATGAAACATAAAACGAAGCCCCAGAAGCCCATAAAAAACACATTGTGCCAGGGCCGCACTTAAAAGGCAACTTCTCCATGTAGATACCTCCATCTTCTCCTTCTCCTCCTGCTGCTGCTGCTGCTGCTGCTGCTTCTGATGTTGCGGCCACAGCCATATGGGGACAATGACGAGTCTGCTCTTGTCGCGGTGGCGGTGGCAAGCGTCTGGGGCAAGGGCCATAAAAATTGCTATATAAAAATAAAAATTAAACCACTAAACGCAGTTTTAGACCCGACCTGGACCTTTTCATCGCAAGTTCGTTCCTCTTTGCCGATTCAGACTTCAGACTTGGCTCTGACTTTCGATGGGAGAGAAACAGACACGAAGTCAGAGAGTCGAGAGTTCATAAAGCGACCCCCAGGGCAGAGACAGAGACGGAGACGGAGGCAGAGGCAGCGACTCCTCCCTCACGTTCCTGCCTGAACATCGTTTTGGGTGACAGGGCGACAGGGTGACAGGGTGGCCCGTGTCCTTACCCCTAATGATATTCAATAATAATACGCAAAGCATAAAAACCACTTGCGACCCCGAACCGAACCAATTCGAACCAAATATTTCAGACATGCTCCGGCTGCGCCTTTAGAATTTAATGTGCTTATAATGCCGCCTGCTGGCTCTCCGCCGTAAGCCGTAAACCGTAAACAGATGCAGACCCAATACCGCTTCGAATGCGTATCGGATGTGGCCCCTGCGTACGCGTATACTGCGTGCACCCCTCAGCCCTCATTTTTAACAGCAAATGATGTCAATTTCCAGTGGCAGGCCGCCGGGGGCGCACGCCCCCGAGAGAATATCCGGAATGGCAGTCCGAAGTGTTGGGATGCCGGGCGCGTTTTTGTTATTCTATCGAAAATTGAACTTAATTGGTGCGTGAAGTGTGCACTGAGTGGATTTGACGGCTGCCTGGCAACTATTGTAGCCAGAGCTGCAAATTTGTCTGCTGCCTGGTGGCCCCCACTCGGCAGCGCAACTAAGTTCCCCGAAACCCATCCACCTGGCCTCATTATAATTTGCCACTCAACAGGCAGAGGCAGCCATCAAACTGCAGAGGCGTCTCTGCACACGAGGGGTGGCAGAACAGAAGCCAATGATCCAAGGAAACAGAACATATCAGCGAGGAGTAGGACAGGTGAAATAGGGATTCCAAGGAAAGAAATCAACGAGTGATGAATACTTTTGGAATTCAAATAAATGTGGCATGCGGAAGTGGCAGAACTTTCCCAGTGGGTGAACTACATTTTATTGGGACTGAGACTGTGACTGTGAGAGGCGAGCAGCGAACCCATTTCGCCCATAAGTAAACTCATTTCTGGGTAATCCCATTACGTTCTGGCAATCAAATTAATTTGGCATGCCCCAAATGTTCCGTGAAACGCCCAAACAACCCTCGGTGCCAGGAGAGACAGCCAGGAGCTGGCAGAGGAGCTGGGGCAGCCAGGCAGGCAGGCATCCAAGCTGATTAGCATAAATTCGTCTATGTTCGTTTTCCTGGCAACGTTGTCGTCTTTTGTCAACGTGTCTGGCATGCCAAGCTGTAAAACTTTGCCAGCAGTCTCTCCTCTCCCTCTCCCTCTTTCTGCCCCTGTGAGAAGCAGCCAGAGATAGAGACGAAGCCTTCAGCTTCAGTAAAAGCTTCAGTCACGGACCTGGGCCATGGCCCTTGGGATGGCACATGGAAACATGTGTCACTGGGGCCTGTCTGCTTATTGCACGACTAATGTCAGTTGCACCAGCAACCAGCATGCTGGAGACTGCGCTGCAGTCGCCTCCGAGGGCAATCGACTAAAAGGTGGCCAACTTCCTGGCCCACAACAGACTCCGCCGCCCTTTAAACTCCGACTGCAAGTGCGGGCCAGGCTGCCGTGTGGCAGTGGGGTGCAAATTATTTCCAGGCTACTGCCAGGGCTGGGCTGAGCTGGGTGAAGGACGCAGGACAATGGCTGAGAAGTTTTCCCGTCTTTGGGTTCATTCATTGGACAGGTTTTCCGCACCCTCTCCCTGGGTTTCTTCTTAAAAAAGGAAGAAGAATTTTTGCATTACAATGGAATTGCCTCGACAGCTGAAGATACCGATGCGATTGCGATTGCGGCTGCGGATACGGATTTAGGTGTGGACAGGGAGGGCGGGCTGCATAAGCTCACGCATTTCATCCATTTTTCACAGCCAGCGCCTTTTTGTGCGATATCTTTTTGTGGCTGTCACTGTGTCACAGCCAAAGTGGTAGCATAATTAACGCAGTTTGTCTTTTTCCTTGTCTTGGCTCCAAAGAATGTTTCCATTCCATGTCCCGTCCGACCCGTCCCTCAATTTGAGCTCTTTGTTGGCATTATTTACGTTTTTCTAGTTCAGTAACACAACGGGACTCGCCCGACCTGTTGACAGAGGGCGCAATCAGCAACAATCAACAAGCAAACATAGCCCACACACACACACACGCACACGCACGCATACAGAGCTACAGAGATGCACTCGCCGGGCCTCACACAGATACAAATATACATATAAGCCATAGGGTGTGGTGCGGGTAAACACGCAGATACGGGGTAGAGCAGAGAGGAGAGAGGAGGAAGAGCAATTTACACCTGAGATCTGTAAAATTCACAAAGCATTGTAAAGCCGATGCGGTCCACAGATACTGGGGGCATCGGCAAGGGGATACCCTGTAAAAAAGGAACACAAACAGTTCATTGGGAAGTGAAGTAAGAAGTTTTCGGATATGGAACTCACTTAATTTGAGTTAAGTTAAAATAAATGAAGTTACATATTCAGTCGACTGCCATGGATACTCCATCTTTGTGCAGGGTATGAGAGGCCATAAGAAGCGAAGCCTGGCACTAAAGACGTGTTAATGAAGCAGACATGCGGGCCAGAACTCCGGCCAAGTCGTGGTCTTTGACGTCCTCTCCGTCGCTGAATGAATTTGTATAACTTGCAAATCATGTTGACTGACGAGCAGAGGCCTCTAGAGGGGAACACCGAAGTGGGGGGACCGCTTGGAGTTTACTTTGGCTGGGCAAAAATTTGTAAAGTGTTGAGCGCAGAGTAACAGAGTACAAACATTCAACGATTGTGCCATGCCATGCCATGCCATGCCCTGCCATACGAGTATTATGAGGAGTGCGAGGAGTTACGTGGAGGAGCATGTGAGGCGGTCCAGGGGCTGCCGTTGTCTGCCCGGTTGGTTGGCTCTCTGGCTCTGGCTGTTGGGATTGCGATTGGGACTGGGATTGGGCTGGGGCTGGGGCTGGCCGCCTGGCTGTTCTACTAAATCAACATCATTAAGTTTTCTGTTTATAAAGAAAACACTCGAACATCGTTTGCGAGCTCTTCGCTCTTTCAACTTTTCTCCTCCAGTCGCTCACTTGTTCGGCTTATTCCTGTGTGCGCGAGTGCGAGTATTTACACGAACTGAAGATGCGTGCTGTGTTATTTTAGGCTGGTACCATCCCGGACGGACATCACTGACATCACTGACATCACCGACGCACCGACCGAGCGACAGACAGACAGACATACAGACATACAGCCAACGACTTGAAAAACCGATACAGCCAAGTGTTAAACACAAATTAGTAGGCAAGCCGAGCAGAGGCGAAAAAAACGCCTGAAGAAAAGAAAAGTCTGAAGTTTCCTGCATATTTGCTCAGCGATTTTACCAAAGCAAAGCACGAGATGCATTCAAACAAACAAACAAAAAAAAAAAACAATACATAAAATAAGTCGATAGTCGGCCCCTGTCCCTCTCCCTGTCCCTTGGCAAGACCCTCGTTCCCATTCCCATTCCCAATCCCAAACATCCATTATATATGTATGTCTGTCTGTTGAACGGGGCAGCGACGCCGACGGCGGTGGCAGTGGCGGTGCAACAAAATGTGAAAGAAAATAAACAACAAAGTCACGAAATTGTTTATACAATAAATAAAAGTGTGGAGCGCAGCAGCGTCTCTGCAGCCCGAACAGCAAAAGTATCTTAAAGATACAAACAAGATCTGAGCATCGGCGCACGCATACCACACTCGTACTCGTATCGAGCATGCCATGTCCCAGGATGTGCTGTAGCCGTTGCTGTTGCCTCTGTCCAAATGCATCTCTCTACTCGTACTCATACTCATACTGATACTGATACTCATTCCATTCATTTAGTTAGAGGCCTCTGCTCTCCACTTGCATGCAGCTCAAATTACAAGCGGGCAAATGTTTAAATACTTGAGTGCCGAATGCACGAGCATATTAACTTTTACCCAGCTCTCAGTATTGTCAACACGACAATTCACTTAGATCTGTGCCCCATAGTTGCCGCCAGCCAGAAACTTTCCAGTCCGCGTCGCCTTTGCTGTAAGAGCAGATGCAGCCGTTTCAGCATTTGTAATGCCATCGGGAGCCTGCATCCAAATGTCCCACGCCTCCTGGCGCCCGAGGACAGACAGACAGGCAGACAGACAGGCGTACATACCTACATACATACAAAGTGGGTGTCGAGTCGCCCTAGTCCCCCGCATCGTTGGAACACCCAAAAGTAGCAGATAACCGTTGCCACTTGCCTTCGACTCGTATCTGCGGGTGTATCTCTCTATCTGGTGTGTTAGGGAGCCTCCAAAAATGAGTGCTTGGGATGAAATTTCGACACGAGACTAAACCAATCCGAGACCAATCCCAAATAGTCCAGAGACTAATGCATGAAGTCACGCTACTAAATAGTTTTGGAATGCTTCAGTTCCATTTAAATTCAGATGCCAGTCAAAGCTGCGTTAGCCGGGACCATGGTAAGGGGCAGTCGGATCCAAATATATCCCCGTATTTATCCCCAACTTTGTAGAAAGCGGAAAAGCTATTGCAAGTCCTCATACTCGTCGTCCTGGACCTGTCTTGGACCGCCAGCGGAGAACGTCGGCGTCAAGTACGCCACAGGCATGCCCGGGTACGCGCCTCTAAAATCATGAGATCCCACCAACATATCGCCGAAACGTGGCCCGCCTGCCTTGCCGTGGATGACGGCCTGGGGCCGCTAATGAAGTCTGCCATCGAGGGACAATTGAGCAAGAAGCTTTTGCAGAAGTGCGGCTATGAGGAGGAGCTGCCTCAGCTGGAGGTGTGGCGGGAAAAAATGAGCAAGAAGCTGGAAAACGACTCGGTCATGGACGTCATTTCTTGGCTCTACGACGAGGTGGAGATTCTGGCGCCGGTGGAAGAGCTTCCTAGCGAGCACTCTCCTCCTAGCCACGACCAAACTAATAGCAAGGACCATCATCCTAGCCAGGACCATCCTCCTAGCCATGAACATGAGATTTTACCCCAATACAAAGACGAAATGGAAGTAGACAGCGAAGGTCCGCCATCTCCCGAGCAGTGTCACGACTACAGGTCATTCGTGCAGGTCGTGAACGATGAGCCAGGTGTTGACGATACTGATTGGACCAAACGTAAAAAATATTAAATAAAGGCCTGTCTCCAGCACCGCGCAATATTGCGGCAAGGAATTTGCTAGTTATTCCGTGAGGGTGTGGAACATAGCTAAAACAGGGTTGATGAATCAGCTGTGTTTTGTAAACAGAGGCAACTGTAAAATTCTGCTAAAATTAAAAAAGGAAACAAATGCACTCTGATGATTGTGTGATTGTGTTTGTGGCGGCATATATTGTTGCAAAACAAAAAAGAATAATTTTCATTTCTTAGTTTTTGCCTACATCTTGCACCATTCACTTCGGGAAGAATTGTAAAGTATACATTCCTGAGCTGGGTATCAGCTGTTCTCTCAGTCCACACACGGTCCCGATAGGCAACTATCGATACAAATCTGTGTATTCCGCTCGTGTTGCTGGATACACACTCTAGGAAAACGTAAACGAAACATTCCTGTCACGGTTAGGTGTGGTGTGGGGTGTGCCGCGGGGACGCCCCCTAGTATCGATCCCACCCTGCCCCGCCAACCATAGAAACATTCCTGTCACAGTTTTTTTTATATGGAGTTTGACAGGAATTTTTCGATTCCGCAGTGCTGGATACTATGCTTAAAGGTGGAAACGAATAAATGGAATATAGTGAAACTGGGGTTTGAATCAAAAACACAGAAGAAATCCCCCAAAATATTCAATATTCTGAAACTTAAAGAACACTACTCGACAAAATAGAACTTCTTTTTTCCTCAAAGATCCGAACCGAAATTTACTGATAGATATGGGACTTTTTTTTTAAGAATTATGATTTTTTTTCTATGGCAGAACTTTTTTTTGAAGAATTTTTTAAATCTGGTATTTTTTTGTAAAGCTTTTTTCAGAAAAGAAATGAAAAAAATGAACAAAAAATACCTTTTGGAAGGATGCGGGCCCAACTGCCAATTGGGATCGCGATCAGGTACCCAATGTACAACCCTTTTTCGTTCGCTTTGTTCAATATACCTTAAACGACGCCTGATTAATGCACCTATTCACAAAAAATAGAGAACACAGGATATCATTTTTTTTTTCGATTTTTCCTGAGTTTTTAAAGTCAAAATTTCGTAAAAAATACCGCACAAAAATCATAATTTTTGAATTTCAATGCTTTATATTTCCCAGACGGTAAGCTGAAATCACAAAGTGTTTGGGCTTAACTTCTAGCTGTTTAATTATCTTTTCAAAATAGCAAAGTTCTTTAAAGCCAAACGTAAGATACTAGAGTTATGTGAAAAAAGAAGCGGTAACTCTGAAAAAAGCTTTAAAAAAAATAACAGTTTTCAAAAAATTTCAAAAAAAGTTCGGCCATAGAAAAAAAAATTATCATCAAACCATTTCTAAGCCTCAAATCTTTAAGAATAAATTGGTTTTGTTCCTTAAGGAAAACTCGTGTCGAGTAGTGAAATCTTTTGTGCAATTTGAATTTTGCGCCAAGAAAGCCGCTATACTATACATACATATACATACATACGTTTGCATGTGTTGCATTGCACTGCCATGCAACAGCTTACTGCTATGCCAGTCGGGAAATTTAGCCATGTCACAAACCATACAGTATACTGTATACAGAAGGTGGACATGTTCTCCACCATACCATTTCAAATACAAGCATACTTTGCGGCTTTTATGCCGGCCAGCTTTTGTTAGAGTGAACCGAATATTCGATATAATTTCCCATATTTTAGATGAAATATTATTTATTGATACAATAAATTACAATGTAAATTTTTTTTAAATTATAAAATTTATCTTGTGAAAAAAATGTATTAATGTACATATATATATATATATATATGAAAGATGGATACAAGATAAATTTTATAATTTAAAAAAAAAATGTACATTGTAATTTATTGTATCAATAAATAATATTTCATTCATTTGTCGCTAGAGATTTTAATTATTTATTCCTGTTTAAAACGATATACATACATTTGTATATAAGTATGTCCATGCATATGTACAATGGAAATAATTGTAAAGTTTATGCTCAAACTGTTTATGGTTCTGGGAAACGATTAATGGTTCCTTGCCGATCTGTCCCGAACTTTTGGCTGCCTGTTAAAAACTGATTCAGCGATCGACCTGGTCTTGTGGTCATATCTCCCCTTACGGTTTGGGGTCGCCAAAGTCAAAGAAAAGGGTTCTGTCTACGATGTTCACACCACATACTCGTACAATTTAATACTTGGCTCATAGCGTTAGCGGGTAAGTTACAATTAAATAAAGCTTAGAGTAGGAGCTTAGACTAGGACGTGGGGTCGGGGCTCCGACTAGTTCACGTAGAACTGCTCGATGGGAACGTTCTTTAGCAGCTGGTTGGCGAGTTTGCCGAATTCGCTTGCCAGCTTCTTCTGCAACTGGGTCTGCATGGCCTCGAGGACAATCTGGGAGTTGTCCCGTAGGAAGAGATTCGTGGCCTCCACTGGGGGGTAAAGGGGTAAAAAGGGCAATTGATTGAGTCATTCGATGGGCGGAAAGGCCAAGGCCAAGACAAACTTACACAGGATACGATTGTTGTTGAACGCTCCGGAGATGCTCATTTTCACATCCTTCACATCCAGCACCAGGCTGAGCGAGTCGATGTGCAGATAGTTGGCTCCCTTAGACGCACGCACCGAAGTCTTACCGGTGAGATCGGCAGTCACGCCCTCGAAGTTGGCGTGGAAATCGCCGCCGCCTGAGGCGGGCAGTATCAGCAGGACACCGGAGCTGGTGTACTTGGCCTCGATCTTCAGCTTGGGCATCACGATCTTCGCCTTGAAGGGCTCGTTGTTTTCAGTCAGCTTGAGCGACTTTACCTGGAAGTTGCTCGCCCCAAACGCCTCCATGTTCTTGAGGGTGATCTTGTAGCCCTGGGGCCCGTCCGTCAGCTGCAGGGCCAGGGAATCCATCTTGAAGGGCTCCACAGAGGGCAGCTGGTGGGGCGAAAGGAAAGAGAATATTAGTCTGAGGTTTACCCGATTCTGCACCACTGTTCGAAGAGTGATCAATTTCCGCACTTTCCACACTTTTCACACAAAAAACAAAGTTGGCGTTGCGCAAGTCCAGCTCCCTCTCTAGCCCACTGACTTCCATTTGACTTACAACTTATGCAACTCCAACTCGTTTTGCAATGGAAAATCAGCAAAAGGGAAAGGGAAAACTAAGGAAAACAAATGCAAATGGGGGAGAGAGAAAACGCACCTGGATCTCGGGAATTCCACTGGCCAGATAGGGCTTCAGATGCTCAATGGCACCCATGAAGCACTCCACCAGCTTGGGATCATCGCGCTGGCATTGTTTGATATAGGCAGCTGCAAAAAAGAAAGAAAACGGAATCTTAGAAGGGAAAATCACTTAGCAGAGTCAACAGAACGGCGATCAACAACAGCTAAAATCTCTGCTTTTCGATTCCTGTAAAGTTCAACGACTCTGCAGACGAGTCGGCCGTAAACCAGTCGCGGCTTCAGGCGGCCTTCAGCCAGCCAGATTGAGATCTCGAACTCGGTCTTGATAGTGAGTCTGTGGGCAAGGTTGAGGCTAGGCTGTGTCCGAGAAGTGCAGCTCTAGAACCTGTTGTCGGCTCGATTCTGACGCACATGACACACATTTCGGCTGCGCTTCGCTTGGGGGGGTGGGGACGGGGGCTAGCGATTATCGGTATATCCATTACACAATGCGGTTGGTTCCCACTCCGGCTTCATTAGCGCCATTCGCTGGCAAGGCAAACTGCAGCGAGAGCGATCGAATTTTCAAGTTGAAGGCTGTTCAACGGCCAGGCCAGCGCTGCTGGCCAAGCGCTAATTAAATATGGATTTGGTTCATAGTCTGCATTTTGAGTTCGCAGCAGAGATGAAGCCCCATGGGGCTGGCTTCAAACACACATATATATATCTATATAGATATATAATGCGGAAGCGACGTCTTTGTTGACACTCAATGCTTCCGAAGCGGGGCTTTGTCCCCCTTTTTTCTTTGTTTCGCTCATTTGTCAAATAAAACTGTGTCGCTTTAAGCAATTAACACATTGAATAGATCGATTGGGAATGTGCTGCTAAGGTAAATCACATATCCACATGCACACATATGTATGTATGTATGTGATTAAACTTGACATTTGACATATTCGGGAAGATGCAAATGCATTTATCTCCCGGCATAGTGTGAAAGAGTTAAAAGTGCTAATTCGCAGTTCACCAAAGGTTCAACATTTAAATGCAAATCGGAGCTGGAATACCCTTTAAAATGTATACCTAAAGCCAAATTTCTTAGGTTTTTATTTAAGAAATTAATAGTAGAAAATACAGAAGGTATCTTTCGATGAGAAACATAAACAGTTGTAGGAAAAACTTCATAAATTATTATGCTTTCAATTCCCAAAAAAAGGAGAACTTATTTTCTCTGCCTCTTATCTATGTATTTTTAGAGTTTATCCCTTTTGAATATTCCCAATGATCCTTATTCCAACTTACGGGCTTCAGCCTGGACCATCCAGAGCGTCTGCACCACAATCACCAGGCACACGTATTTCAACATCTCGGATGCGAATAAAAATATCACTTGATCACAATTTAGGAATTATAGTTGGACAAAAACAACGACGACCCACACGCGACACGGAATGGGAATTATAATTTATTTAAATCTTTATATGATTGGTCGTAGTCGTGGTCGAACGCAACGTCTGTCACCGCGAAGCTGAGAACGTGAACTGCGAGACAGTCGCCTGTCGATCGACGATTTTAAAGGCCCCCACCAGTGGTGGAGCGGGAAATGGAGACTGGGGACTGCGGGGCACCTAGTACATAATGCAAAGCCCGGACAAGTTAAAGCAGAGCTCAAGTCAAGTCAAGTCCCGACGCTTAAGTCGACGGCGCGTCGTCGCTGGCAGAGAACTTCAATACTACCGAACAGATCTGAGATGGAACTGGGCAGCAATTGGCCAACTGACTGACTGACTAACTGACTGTTTAACTAATCTTCGGTCTCTCCATCCCTCTCTATCTCTCTCTCTATGTCTCACGAACTTTATCTGACCCTCTCTTTCTGTCTGACTTCTTTGGCTTCTTGCAAATTTTTTGTTTGCCCATTTTGTCGAGTGCCATAAAAAGTAATTAAGCAATTCCAATTACGCAATAGACAGCAGATATTTTTTGTCAGTCTCGGATGCAGTAAGAATCTACAGTTAGTAGGTAAACACAGCTTCCCTTAAAGAGAAGCTGAGAGCATCACCTGATGAGCTTCACACCTGCTTTAATAACCTTCCCCCAGTGGACCGCAAAAGAGCCCTGAAGGCAAGCAATAATTGTGAAAATTATTTAGAGAAATAATCACTTGTATCAGCTAAAGAAATAATGGTTAATATCAGCTGTCAGATCTCTTGAAGCAACCAAACTTTGGATCTAGTAAAAACCTTGAGATATAAAATAGAATTATAATCAGAATGGGGGCAAAGGGAGCTAAGTAAACCTCATTAGGCGTACTCTGGGAATCAAATCTAATTAAAATGTTGTGTTTAATGAGTTATTAGGTTTAAATGATTAGATGTGTCTGTGTCTGTTTAAGACTGTATGAACTGGCTAGTCCCTAGACGGCTGACTGTGAAATACTCTTAAGTCTGATTTAATACTTTATTTTACGTATGGAATGGTCGTAAAAATACAAACTTATATAAGACAATAGAATTCTTGGCATTTTCAGTTAGAAAAACATTCATTAGCATTTTAATGTCAGTAGCATTGACTACTGAATGAGTCACCCCCACATCTACGTCTACATCTATTTACGTATGGTAGAAAATTTACATGTTCGCCTATTACCACTTCATTAAATCCAGTTAATCAGTCACTCTTACTTGTTGCACATAGTACTAGTGTAGTGGAAAAGGTTAAACTAGTTTAAAGCATAGATCTAGTCCGTTAAGTTCTAGTTTGTAGCCAGCCAGCCAGCCAGACCAGTCTCCCGAGAATCATTCAATTAATAGCTGCTAGTGAGTGACTAAACTGGTATAACTATGTGAAAATACTGCGGAATTCAACAGAATTCACTCTCTTCTATGTAGACTGCAGCTGTCTCTACAAACAGAAGAACAGCAGAAGCAGAAACAGAAACGGAAAGCCCAGATACTTTGCCCCAAAACTTTGCACTGCAGCCTCGAGACTTTCGACCGAGCCCAACCGAACCGAACCTAGACGAATGAAGCTGAACTCTTAAACTGTTTACAATGGCCCTGAGCGCAAACAAACAGAGCTATGGGGAAGTAGTACAGTACAGGCAGCATTCGTATCTGGGAGCGTGGAACGAGGGCCAAATACTTATTTGTCATACAAAAGGCCTCTTCGCCGATTCTGAAGCTTGTTGACAGCGGGCAGGTCCATGCGCACAATGCGACTAAGTATATGTAGTTATAAATATACCTACATATCTCCATTTGTATCTGTATCTGTAGCTGTATCTGTATCTGTAGCTGTACAAAGGAAAACGAGAATAAAGAGAATTGGCTGGGAAGTGGCAGTGCGAGCTGCTTTCGGCTTGAAAGAGCAAGGAAAACATTACTCAAATCTCATTGTTTCATTCGCATCATTGTTGCCTCTATGTTGGTTCTATGGCTAAGTAAGTGTATCTGTATCCCCACACGTGTTCCCAGAAGGTGGAAATTGGCGCTGTTTGCCTGCTCACGAACCCATCATTTTTTTAGTGGGACTGTCTAGCTAATTAGCAAAGTGACTGGACAAATGTGATAAAGACAACATCGAGTCGAGAATAATTAGCCAAAATAGCTGACAAAATAGCCATAATTTTGTTGAATTAAAATTTAAATGTTTTAATCATGCCTAAAGAGCAGAAAAAGTTGAATTTCCTAGAAACAAGTTGCATGAAATGTCAAAGCATCTCCACATTTGCATTTAAGTTCACTTTCAAACTCCGGTATAATTCCATACATTTAGGCTTCCTTCTGTTCCCCATTTAATTGGCAATCAAATATCCAGTTTCGGCCATAAAACAGGAAGGAACATGACCCAGAAATGTATGGCTTTGGCGCCCATAAAGTAGTTGGTCAGAAAGGAATCGATCCACAATTGCATTCACAGTCGGTGGTTGACCCAATAACCGCACCACCTTGACCTTGAGCCGAGTCATAGCAGAGCAGAGCAGTGGCACAAGGGCCGCACAGTGGGGGCCGTCGCCGAGATGTGTTGGCAAAAAGTAAAAAATTTTATAATTTAAATAGAGTATAGAGTAGAGTATACACGCATGCAAAATATAGAAATTCTAAAGTACAGAAAATCGGTGTTTTAGTTGGGAATTTTATTTTGCTTTATCCACATTCTGCCTCTTTAAGGTTCTTTCAGGTCGAATTCAAAGTAAACTATGGAATATGTGATTATGTTGTTCGGTCTTTCTTAATAGGTATTAGAGGATAAATGGCCAACAGTGTGATTCACTCTCATGAATCTTATCGGTCGCTGGTATTGTATTTTGTACACAAAAGGACTTTCAAATGATGTTTGCTTAATTGAACGGGAAAACATTGAAGATCGCATTTCCTCATCGCATGCAAAAATTGTATGCAAGGAGAGGGAGAATTGTTTGACGGAAACACTCAAGGCAAAAAGATGAACATAAAATCAGGATAGAAAGGATTCGAGCCGATGGAAACATCGGCCCGGACATTATTATTATTATTACTTATATTTAAGAAAAAAGAAATTACTGAAACAAAATTAGAGTGGATAACGACATTGGCCAAAGAGTGCATTTAATATGGAATATTTTAAGCTGCAAGTTAAATTCGTGAAGATAACTTTATTCGTTCAGAACTTATTCATGTTGAAATGCCGGAACCCCCCAACACCCCACCCCACTCATATACATTGGCACGTACATTTTCAGGCACACGACTTCTGCCGTGCGATACGTTTCCTTGGCATACTTTCAGGCGGTGCAGCTACAGTGGCGGTGCAAAATATTGAACCATGCTGTGTGTACAAGACGATCATTCGTGTGAGAAGAAAATATTAAATTATTTTCTCAGACGCCAGGCAAGACGATTCCTGAGCTTGAAAATAAAAACAAAGGTTCCGTATCCATAGCAGAACAAGTGAAATCACTGCTATTCAACATTTAATGCGATGTGATTCATGGCTCACGACCCCTTTGCCATCTCTATGTAGATGTAAATTAAATTTAAATGCAAAACGCACAATCATAAACAAACAGTCAGAATTGTTCTCGACAGCGAATAAAGTGCTGTGACAAAGTTCCCCGAGGCATGTGCATTTCTTTTGGAGGGCTTGTCACTCGCTGTCAATGGGAGGAATGGATGGATGGTAAGCCCAATAAACATTACTGATTTATAAAGGAAAGGGTTCAATGAATGGCTGGATAGGGGGAGGAGATAATGAGGTGCCGCTTGGCCCATCGCCATCGTCATCTCTTGACACTCTTTAGAACAAAGGCTACGAAAAGGCTGAGAGGCAAAAGGAGGTGGATGCTAATCCCAGCATGTAGAATCGCTAATGATGGATTCATCATTCGTGGCAAACTCATTACCAGAGACTGCGATTTCAGATGGTGTGGGGTTCCAGGTGGTGTAACGTTAAGTGCAGGGCTAACCTTCAACTTCAAGGCACCCAGAGCCAGGCCCCAAACGACGCAAAGGCATAGGCAGAGGCAGAGGTGGCAGTTGGCAGTAACAGAGTAGGAGGCCTCTCCTTTTGTTCGTCTTTCTTTCTCTGGCTCTTTCGCTGCATTTCGTCGACGCTTTCGAGCCGACTTCTTGTTGGTTAAAATGGCTTGGTCCAACGCACTGCGAGCTCATTCCTCGACCGAGTCGCGTGAAAGTTGGACGCAAAGTAAGCGCAGGCCAAGTCACGCCGAAGAAAGCAGCAGCGGACAACAATTCGATTCTTTATTCAAGAACAAACAACGACGGACTGACTGGTGTGGACTGGTTGTGACTGGCTTTGGGTTTGGTTTTGGGCCTGGGTCAGGGACTGGGACTGAGACTGGGACTGAGACTGTGACCCACTTAACGAGCCCCAAAGAATTTACGTCAAAGTGAAACCCACAGATTTACCGTGCGAGTGTGTGTTCAAAATTCTTTTCCAACTGTTTTCGCTTTCGCTCGTAAAGCAGCCAGCAGCCAGCAGACCAGCCAACGACGTCATCTGACCAGAAACTAGCATACATAAATCCATACATTTTCGACGGCAGAAAAAACGTGCTAATCAATTACGAAACTAGCGAAAAACAAAAAGTGAAACACTACCAATAATTTCCCCTGTTACTTGTACTTTCATTCAGACGAACCATACAAAAATGTGCCACAAATTCGGATTCGTTTTGCTCGCGTCCATCGTGGGCGCCATTTGGGCCCAGGAGCAACGTAAGTACCATCTACAGCAGTGATTAATCATTAATGGATGCATATCATCCGATTGGGCTGCAGAGCTTTCTTTTCGAAGAGTTACATCAAAGGCAGCGCTGGCTTTCCAGACGTGAGACCCCTCCTTAGACACGTACGCCGCCCCCGGCCCCGGCCCCGGCCCCAAAATTGGCTTAAGTAGCCCATGGATTGGGCTTTAATTACCCACCCCCCAGACGTGCCCCGGCAACAACGAAAGTTGGCTAATACGCTCGTGGCTATGTGGTTCCCGGAATGGCATTTGATGGCAGCTACTATCTCCGATCAAGACTTCTGGTTCTCTTTCGGTACATTACATTACCCCGTACTGGCTGCAATCAAAACTCGAGCTATCTGGAACGGAATTGCTTGGGCCATTTCGCTATTTTAAGAACTTTGAGGCCCATAAAGATGTGTAGGATGGGACGTGTCTGGATATACGAGTAGCCAAGATATAAAGCAAATTCCTGGAATCAAAGTTCAAGTCAATTTAAAGAGAGGAATTCAGAATATAGGGTTGTGCATCTTCCGGAAAAGTCTAGAGTCTAGAGTCTAGTGTCTAGACCCTTCCGCAATATTAAAGTATGACTTCCATTTATCATGTCTGCCGTCTGTCGTCTGCCTCCTACATCCTCAATTGTGCCTATCCGAACACACCTTTCTTAACCCGGCAATAAACCTGTCACCAGCCTCATTTCTCAGTGGCCGCTCACAATGCAGGCCGAACATGTTCACAGCGATTATCCGCTATGGCTGTGAGAGATCCCCTCGAGATAATGGCGAACTTGAACCCAACGACAGCTCACGCATGCACCGGGGAAGCGCAGTTGATGGGAGGGAGCGGAGCCCTATAGCGAATCTTCAGCTCCATTGTGCACAGTTTTCGATGAAACAATGTGAACTGTGAATAGGCAAAAGTGGCAGCAATTATAGATCGTTGCAGGCAGTATTTCTCACCCATTACCGATCACTTTCAGCCTACTACCTGCAGCAGTGTCCCCGGGATGAGGCTCAGATCAACGACTGTCTGCGGGAGAGCGGCAACAAGCTGGTCCACTATCTGCAGAAGGGCGTGCCCGAGCTGGACATCTACGAGGTAAGTGGATGACATCACACTCCATTCTGATCAATCACATACGAGTATTTCCCTTGCAGATTGAGCCAGTGATGATCGATGAGATCGGCATTGTCCTGGGCAGCGGTCCGGACGGCTATCGCGCTCTCTTCCGCAACATCCAGGCCTATGGCGTGAGCAACATAACTGTCACCAATATCCGGTAGGTTCAGGTGCACTCACGCCTAGCTCCGATGTACTTTGGTCCCCATTTTTTCTGTCGTACCCATAGGGTCAGCTTAGATCTGAACCCGCATAGCTCGACCGACACTTTAAGTGGTTGTTCATCATCACTTTATGTCACAGAAGGCAGATGTTCGCCCATGAGAAATGTCAATGCACTGACACAGCCAGTGTGCCAGTGTTCCAGTGTTATTCTCCCAAAAAGAACTACTTCAATATTTAGATGCAGTTTGGAATTCAGTTTGATTTTATTTGATACTCTCACGGATTATTATTTCCCTTGTTAGTTTTACCCACTCGACAGAGCATTCAAACTTCTCTGTGCATTATCTTAGTCTTAATTGTTCTATTTAAACTCCAAGTCAAAGAGTCAGTGCGTTTAGCTCTGTCTCGTTTAGTAGAACTTCCGTTAAAAAAGATCAAATGGCACAACATTACAGTCAGAGTCATAACAAAGAGGTTCTACGCATCCAAGTAGATTCGATGGAATATCCCAACTGTATTATCCACCCATTTGGCCAGCATCCAAGCCAATCCAAGTCAGTGAGTCAATTGTTCACTTACGCATTCGATCAATGGCTCTGATCTGAGCACGCGATCTTCGGCTTGATCATTGCATCGCTCACGTTGTCAACATTGTGTGGGGAGCTGACTTGAATGAGCGCAGTTTCCGATATCAAGCCGCCGGTTATGGGCTCTCAAGTTCTTGATTTATACCCATACGAAACGATTAGCACTCGCATTCGCACTCGCATTCGCACTCGAGCCAATCGATCGAGCCATAATTGATTTGCATTTGAGTGGTTCTTCAACTCTAACTTAAACGTTTTATGTTTGCCCAGATCGATTTGCATGCGCACGGGTTTTTTCATTTGCAATGTACTTTATTTATTTTTACTTGCATCACGTAACTGCCCCCAGATATCAACTCGTGCCCATTCTGGTTTGGGGGCAGGTAGGTGTAGGTGTAGGTGTGCGAGCAGCTCCAGGGAAATCTAAGCCATGTCTTTTAGCCGGAATCAGCCAGAGATACTCGTGCGCTGTTCGCTGGAAATTTGTTTGCTGTGTGGCTGTGTGTTGGGCCATTTAATTTTATTTATTTATTTAATCATTTAATGGGCGATTTGACGACGCGTTTCGCGGTTAACAGGAGATTCTTGGGAAAGCTGGGGAATTACTTCGTTGGGTATTTGTCATGTTCTCCCCTTTGCCATCGTCAGACAAGTGTAGAAAGATTACCCAGGAAAGTAAACCGTTGCGTCGTTTCCAATTGCCTTTTAACTAGACTGAAACTAATCCTCTTTCCACTCTGAATGGCCTCCGTTTTTGTGGGGCTCTTGGATTATGCAACGCCCCCCAAAGCCAAGAGCACTTTTGGCTTAACTTTCCGGTATTTGGAACAGCAGAACAACAGAAAAGCAGAAACCACAACCAACGACTCGGACTACCGTTTGGCCATAGACAAGTGTCACTCAATTGGCGAAAAAAGTGACGCCAAGTCAATTGGTAGACACATAAACACTGCGCGAGACGACAGACCAGACCCCCCGACCCACAGATCGTTGACCAAGAAACGTGCCAGAAAAGTGTGCCAACATTAGAAATATTCTACTCCATGTGGAGTGCAGTCTTTGGGGCCGGTTTCGGTTTTGGTTTGTCCGCCGAAGGTCGCATCAGGCTGATCTTTTTGGAGAGTTCTCCTTGGGGTTGAGACTTGGATTTAAGAGAGTTTCGTTTCGTTTCGTTTCGGCTACCAGTTACCACCATCCAGCAGCAATCAAGGTTGCGGCAAATAGTCGTCTGCTCAGCTCATCGTTGCCATGAAATGGCACTTTTGTAAGGAGCTTTGAGAGTCATTACGCAGATTGTCACTGTCATTGCCATTAGATATTTATACTCATATAAGTATATACATTTCTATATGTGCCTTTCAGCTCCGACTTGGACTCGCTGCAGTTCCAGCTGACGTGCGAGATACCCCGCATACGCGTCAAGGCTCAGTACCGATCCACAGGTGTTCTGATCTTGGTGAAGGCCTCCGGTGCCGGCGACTACTGGGGCGAGTATGGTAAGTAACCTCATCAGATAGTTTCAATCATGGCTGGGCTGGGTGCTGATAGTTCGCTCTCTTGCCAGAGGGCGTCAAGGCCAAGATCTACTTCAAGGCGGTGGCCAATGAGGGAGCTGATGGACGCACTTACTTGACCACCGACTCGGTGAAGATGGACTTCAATGTGAAGGAAATACAGATGGGCGTGGATAACATTGCCAATGGCAATTCAGTCATACGTAAGCTTAGATCTTCAGTCCCTGAGAATCACATGCGGGAATCTACTCACAATCTCCTCCCATTAACAGAGGCTGCTCTCAATCTGTTCATCAACTCGAACTCCCAGGAGCTGCTCAAGGAAATGAAGCCGGCGCTGAGGACGAAACTCACTCTGGTCATCAGGAACTTTATGGATCGCATATTCGCCAAGATCCCCCTGGATGAATGGATCAACTTAAACTAGTTCTCCATGAGACACTGTTCTACTTCTAAGTCCTAATGTATTGCACAGAGTTCAAGCTAAATAAACAAAAATAGTACGAAAAATCAACTAAAAGAGCAGCGATGATGGAGGCGGAAAGGGTGGTGGAAAGGGGAGAGATTATATTGCTCAATCCCCCCTTTCGTGTTGCCCAAACCAACAGGTTGCAATATTATCAGAGTTATCATTAGATGCACGTTTGAGAGTTAGAAAAGTTACCCACTCTCGTTCAGGTTTGGCATGTTAATTCAAGGCCATCGCCTCGTCTCAATGAATGAGTAAAGGTTTGTAAACAACTGCTGGCTGTTGGTATTTATCACAAGAAATAGCCCGACTTCGTAGCTTTAATGAGCAAAGAAGAAATCAACTAAAAGTCAGCAGTCCACGAGACAAATCCCTCTGTAAGAAGTGCACTTTGTGCCCCACATTACAGCCCCTGATGGGAGCTTCCCTGAGGAAGCGATTGAATAATAAACGATGAATGAACAGCGACTAAAGGCGTTTCGTTGCTAGTTATCTAACACGTAGTACGGGCAGCCATTAGGCCGAAGCCTGGCCAACTGATCTTTAGGTTGACCCCCGAATGGCGTGCAGTTCAACAATTTGCCCCATACCACAATCAGTGGCAGCACCGAACCATGTCAGAGGCAGCCCAGCGATCCCAGTGGCGACCCAACCCAAGCGAGTGCCCAGCGCTAAAGCTTCTCGTCACCAGGGACATTATATAATATATAATGTCCAAAGTGAACAGATTGTCAACCAACACACGACCTCAACTAACTCCCGATCCGATCGTCTCCACAGAACACAGGGAAGATGTGTTCTCGACTCGTAATTGCGATTGGCACGACAGCGACCTTCCTTCCCATTCCCATTCCCATCGCCATCCCCATCCCCATTCAGGCCGCTACCAACCCCTAATCCCCGACTGCGTTCGTTTTCGGGTGGCAAGGCTGCTGAGGTGGGAAACAGCCCACAGCCCACAGCTTCCTGCCTGGCTGGCTGTCTGCATTTTCCCAGCCGCCAACTGGCAATTTTCCCCCAGCTCGCAGATACATTTGTGTGGATGCAATCAGTATAAAGATTATTATTAGTATTAAACAGTAGCTGCTTAGCGTCTTTCTCTATCTCCCTCTCTCTCTCACTCACTGCCGCAGCTTGCCTCGCCTCTCCCTCTTTCGCTAAGCGTTTTGCCAGCAGCAGCAGCAGCAGGGCGCGGAACCGGGGTATTTCTGAGTTCTACGTCGTGCTGCTGTTCTAGCTCCACAGCACAACTTGCCCAAGCTCTCATGTAAATCGAAGCGAAATTTTTGCTATAAAACGTGCCGGTCTCAACAATTTTGCATTCAGTACGATCTGTAGACGGTTACTAAAGCAACACTCGAATCCGAGACTCTGAAACAAACACACAGAATAAATCTCAAGCAGCAGCGAGAACGTTGAGCGGCCTTCGACATCAAAAAGTTAATCAAATAAAGTGCCAGAACACGCAAAACTCAATTAAACAACTAAATCATTTCCAAGTGTAAGTTCCAAGCCAGGAAATATTTTTTGTTGACACTCGTATATCCTAGACGTGATCCGGACGTGATCCGGACGTGATCCTCAGCAAAAATCTACTCAATCAAACCAGTGAAAACTTCCCAACTAAAGGAATATTCATCCAATACCTCTGTATTACATTCGTTCCCATTTCTGAATGAGAATGAACCCCGAAAACATTTATTATTCAATATATGTAGCTCCAAGGAAATGTATTTTCCAATTCTTGCAGGAGATCTTAAATCTCAATCAATCCCATTCAAGTTCAAAGAAATTTTCCTATTTCCCTTTCCCCAATCAGTGTCCATTCAAAAGCTCGCTCTTTCTCTCTCTAGTAGAAGTTGAACTACAGTTCGCTCTCGCTGGCACACCGCCAATCAGTGGCCATTCATAAATATCGTAAAACATTGATAATGATATAGTGCTCGGAGCCGCCGATCAAAATCAGTTAACTTGCAGTCTACAAAGTGAACAAAACAGACATCTGATGATAGTAATCGTTGCGGATCGGCTCAGTCGATAGAAACCTCCCACTTATTTGACTACGACGCAGTGACCATAATGCCTATAATCGGGACTGGGACTTGAGATGATTATAGCAGTGGGAGGAGGATCGGTTTAAAGGGGCTGAGTGTGTGCCGACTCGGCTCCGTGTAGCTTGTGTGGTTAATGATTTTTGAATAGATGTTCATTATGGAACATAGACTGTGACGTCAATGCCGATAATGGTGGGATGTTAGTGGCTGCGATGGGAGGGGATGGGGAATCAAACAATAGTTACTTTAACCATTTTTATAATACAATGCCTCTTTGATATCTTCCCATAGGAAACCACATATACTTGCAACTATACAATCAATCAAAATGCAGTCCACACTCATTGTAGCCTCTCTGATGATCTGCTTCCTGGGAGTTACCTTAGCTGGCAGCATGCGTAAGTAGAAGACTGATCCTATTTCCTATATCCTATACTCACAAGAACTCTGCCCATAGCTGACTACATTCAGGTGTGCCATCGCCACGATCCCGAGCTGTCGAAGTGCCTGAAGAACAGCGTCCACAATCTGCGTCCGTATCTGGCCAAGGGCATCAAGGAGCTGAATGTGCCACCACTAGAGCCTCTCTACATTGGCGACCTGAGCATTCTCGACGGATCCGGTGGCCTTACAGTGAAGGCCAAGAAGCTGAACATCCTGGGAGCCTCCAACTTTGAGATCACCAAGCTGCGCGCCTCCACCCAGAACAGGCGCTTCGACTTCGAGCTGATTCTTCCGCATCTGCATGGCGATGGCATGTACGAGATTAACGGCAACATTCTGGCGCTGCCCATCAAGGGCAACGGACCCTTCACCGGCAACTTCACCAACTTTGTGGCCTATGTGCGCGTCCAGTACGACATCAAGCAATCGAATGATTTGGATTACCTGCACGTGAAGGAGTTCGCCCTGAAGATTCGCACGGGAAAGGGAAACCTGAAGCTGGAGAACCTCTTCAACGGCGACAAGGTGCTGGGCGATGTCATAAACGATACGATCAACCAGAACTTTGAGGTTTTCACCAACGATTTGATCGCTCCGATTGCGCGCGCCCTGGAGGCCAAGTTCCTGGTCATCACCACCAAAATCCTCGAGAATTTCACTTACAGCGAGCTTTTCCCCGTCTAAGATGAACGTCATGCCAGAATAGGAAGCAGCTGTGGAGATTTAGAATTAAGCTTGTGATACACTTGATTTGTTTTAATTAGTCTTAAAATATTCAATAAATTAAACGAAATTTAACAGAAACACACGGTTTATATATTTATATACATACATATACATATACATTTAATTATAATTTCAATTAAAACCAAACCTCACGACCCATTCATCATTTGAGTTCTGCAAAAGCAACACTTTGGAGCAGAGCAGTAATACAATGAAAGTGGTTATCAGGAGGAACGAACTAATCCTACACTATTGGGCGGCCTAATTAATGCGCCTGTACATACAACGACAAGGAACGTTGTGAGTCGCTGCTGTGGCCGCGACTTTACTTTTATACCCGTACTCAGTCAGTATATAAAATGAAAATAAATTTTATGTTCTAGCTATAATAATGAGCCAATCTAAACCGGATTCGGCTATCTGATAGATAAGGTCATTCTTTACGATACTGCGATTTTAGCTTTCTCGTATCTTTAAAATTGTGGATGCCAGAGATTTGCGTCCTTTGTGGTGGCGAAATTTTGAATTACACTTTTAGCAGTGTGATATCACATGAGTCTGGAAACAAAATTTTGTTGCTCTGGCTCTTATAGTCTCTGAGATCTAGGCGCACATCATGACGGACAGACAGACATGGCCATATCGACTCGGTTATTGATGCTGACCAAGAATATATGTACTTTATGGGGTCGGAAACGTTTGCTTTTCTGCGTTAAACACATGCACTTTTACCAGAAATACAATATACCCCCTAACTCTTTGAGAATGGGTATAATTACCGCACAAAAATGAAAATTTGCTGCATTTGAAACTTTAACATTTCCCAGACGGAAAGCGGAAAAAACAGAGTGCTAAGGTCCAATTTATAGCAGCATTTCTTAGATTTTCAGAGCGGCAAAGTTCATTACAACCATCTGTAAGATACTTTAGTTATGTGAAAAATAAAAGCGCTACCTCTGAGAAGAGGATTTCAAGGATTCATTCGATGAAATTTTGGATTTCCGCATTATTTTTTTAAACTTTTCACAAACTTGCTCCATGGAACTTAATTCAGTTAACTGGAATGAAGTATTTATCTGTTTTGAGTGGTAAATGAGCCAGATTTTATCCAAAAAATATGCAGTTTTGGGGAAGTTTTTTGGAACAAGATTGTCATATGATTATGCTCTCAAACTATCATTATACAGTTGTCAATTATGACATTAACAAAGACCATTCTTCCTGGGATATTTTGACGTCGAAAATGATTTCAAGGTATACTAAAGGTATTTAACGGTATAGTAAAGAACAAAGGGTTGTTTAAAAAAATGAGGTTGTTACCGCAAACTATTGTTCCAACTAGCGATATTGCGTCCGGAGAGCGTTTTGAGTGCTCTCTTTCGACTGGGTAATGGCAAGGTATGGCCTATATGAGAAAACGGGCAAGCTTTTTTTAGGGGCCTCCTACAATGCTCACCTTGGCCCCAAAGGATTAAATATACCTTTAATGTTTATTTGGAAAAATTTCATTGGTTATAGCCAAAAATCGCGTTATGTACCCAAATTTCATTGGTAAAATTTTACATCAAAATTTTACATCATGGTGTGTTAGTCGAAGTGTGGGGTTTTACTTTACATTTTGTGACGTTTTTCTGAAACGGTAGAGTTTTACATGACTATGTAGTTAATTTCTAGCAAATGTAAACGTGTAGTTACCATGTAAAACATTGAATTGTCCATCAAAAGACCATTTCCTCTATTTGATTAAACCTTACTTATGAATAATTCAAATGAACGGGAGTTCTTATCATTAACAAATCTTTTAGGAAATTAATCAATTATTCGTAGAAAAATATATGTGCAGCGCTGAGAGTCTTAGCTTGCTAGCATTATTACGCCGAATATTAAAATTGAGGAATATCAATGCATAACAGCTTGTCGTGTCCGTCAGTATATTTACGGTATATTATAAAAATGACAAGGTATTATTCGGTATATTTCTGAGTGCAAAACGACAAATAAATTGAACGATAAATACGCGGTCACACTGCTGCTCAATTTGTCCTCAATTAAATTCCAAAATTTCACTGTTTCTGTTTATAAAAAGGGCGCATATTTGCTTAGGCTTACAATTCACAATACACACAAAGTGTTAGTATCGTTGTAAAACATGTCAACACCCGCACGCAGACGTCTTATGAGAGATTTTAAAAGGTAAGAAAACGCCACGAAAAAAAATGAAAAGAAAAAAAACGCAAAGTACACACACTTTGAGAGACCTCGTCGTCGTCGTCGTAGTCGTCGCTCCTCCCCCTACCCAAATCGTGTTTCGTGGTATGAAATGGAGAAACCTGGGGGCTGCTCTGCTGCCTGCCTGCTGCCCCAATACGTGTGAGCGCAGACCAGACCCACCATTATGTCTGTATGTCGTGGAAAAGTTTGCGCAGCCAAAATATACACACACATACATATAGGTGCATACATATGTATGCCTTTGACACTTGACTTTGATGTGGTGCTGCTGCAGAAGAAGAGGAAGAGCGCGAAAAACAAATGCAAAAGGAAAATAAAGCAAGAATATGTGAGGAGGATCGTAACAACGAAAATTCGTCTTCCGTTTTCGCCAATTGCGTCGCAGACAAAAATCATTAACAATAGGAACCATGAATGTGTGCCCCAGTGAGAGGGAGAGAGAGAGGAAAAGCAGATCCCAAAATGTTGGGAATTGAGTCAGAAGAGAGAGCAGAAAGCAGCAGCAGCAGCAGCTGCCCCAAAAGTCATTCGCATCCTGGTTGCTGCTCTCCCGCTCCCGCCACCACTCTCGCGTAACCTTGTTGACTCACGCGACAGAGATAGCAAGACTTGAATGTGTTCCCAAATGGAATTTCATGTGATTTCGTCAGTGTATTCTGTTTTTGTCAATTAGATTGCACCCCAGAGATTGCATCGTCACGGCCCTGGCATAATGTCAAGGCTGCACCCCAGCGAAAAGTGGGTGGCACGTGACACTCTATTAACTGGTTCATCTCTTGGTACTTGGTATCCATCCATCCCTAGTCTAGTCCCTGCTCACTAGTTCTTGTTTAATCGATGATTTCATTCGTTGGCCAGAGCAGCATTTCGCATTTTGGTATTGATTTAAGCCGATTGAAGGGCGCGGTTGGATGGTTGGTTTTGTTGTTGTTATTGCTGCGGTTTCGGTACGGTTCAGACCACCCGCTTGTTGCAGACCGCGCCAGCATTGACCTACATTCCAAGCAGATCCCCGTACAGATAACGTGACAATTGGCCGTTACCATATCGCAAATCGGATTCCTCATTGGATCGACTTTTGGTCTGGGTTCTGTGTACATAATACAAACGAATGAAAGTTGCTTAAATAATTATTATTTAATAGTTAGATGATGACCCAGTGGTTACATCTGAGCTTTTGCTGAACTGCAACAGAATCTATCTTTATATTGATTATATCATACTGCTTACTGCTCACAATTACCATATCTCAAACAAAAGGAAAACCAACGACACTTAAAATGGTACCGAACTTTTGTGTTTATGCCTATTTATATACACAGATATTTTCACGCCATAAAAAGCGTTTTCTTAGTCACAAAGGAACATGATTAATAAACAGTTTATGACTAAGAAAGATACAAATGTGCTTTTCTGTGGATTAGTATTCAGTTTCAATGTGCCATCCAATAAAATATAGATATATAGATACACAATCTGATTTTATAAATGCATTAATATTCCTAACATTCCATCCAATTTATAATCTTTTCAACAGACTTCAGGAAGACCCACCAACGGGTGTTTCGGGTGCGCCAACAGATAATAATATTATGATATGGAATGCTGTGATTTTTGGTCCACACGATACCCCATTCGAGGATGGAACCTTTAAGTTAACCATAGAATTTACGGAAGAATATCCAAATAAACCGCCAACAGTTCGATTCGTTTCGAAAGTATTTCACCCAAACGTGTATGCAGATGGTGGCATATGCCTGGATATATTGCAGAATCGCTGGAGTCCCACATACGATGTGTCGGCCATACTAACATCCATACAGGTGAGGTTCTTAATGTCAATCGTGATATACTGACTGACTCTATGTATACTAACTGTTTTCGGTGTTTCTCTTAGTCACTTCTGAGCGATCCCAATCCCAACTCACCGGCCAACTCCACCGCCGCCCAGCTGTATAAAGAGAATCGTCGCGAGTATGAGAAGCGTGTGAAAGCCTGCGTGGAGCAGAGTTTCATCGATTAGCCATGCGCCCACACCAGGAACAGCAACAGCAGCAAAATCAGAAGCGACAGCCAGAGCAGCGGCCGTACCAGCAGCAGCAGGAAGGACACCAGCTCCAGATTGAGAAATCAGCAAACTACAGCAACAAAAATATACAATAACATACACACGTTTAAATTAAATAACAGCATGAATATTTATAACAATTATAATGCTATAAAATTGTAACAGTGTCACTGCAACACACTCATTTACTATCCCTCACACAGTCACTCACGAAAGTTCGATCCTAGTTAGACTTGTTTGGCCCGTTTCATCGTTTTATCCAAGAACCAGAGACACACTCCCAGAAAGAAATGCGAAATACTTCCCCCAGCAGGCAGCAGCAGCAGCGCAAGCGGTCGCTGCAGCTAAAAATCCCTCTCGTAAGCTAACAGCGATTCAAATGTTATATTAGTAGCATAGATATCAGCGGCGGAAAATGATTAATAATTATAATAAAACACATATTATAAAAACTATGTCAAATAATTACAAAAACAAAATAGTTTCATTTTAGATGTGTGCAAAGCAACTCTACTAAGATCAACTAACTAAACCCACAATGAAACTCAATCCGAAGCTTAACCAAAAAGTAAAAACTAAACAGCCTAATGAAACAATGATATATGTTATGTATGTATCTGTAATAGTTCGTGTCGTAGCAAGCAACAGCACAGCAAAAGTTGAAAGTTAATTGATTGGCGGCGGTAGCTTCCCATCTGCCCAAGAACCCGAAATTGAAATTGTAATTGTAATTGAATAGTGTTGAGTGCGGAATGTCAATGATAACTCTCCAACCATGCCCACTTCCATGCGCACACACTCACACACACACCAACACATACATACACACTCGAAAACATGCTACCTAGATTGAATCATAAGTTGATTGGCTATAAAATGTGAAATTTACTAGAAATTGAAATTAAATGTTAGTTATTATCAATCAAAAACAAAAACCACATGGGAAGTGCGAACAAATCCTGTTGGAAATGATTGGAATGAACGCTTGAACGAGTCTAGAGCATCGTCCTATAGTAGTAGCATCCAGTGAGACCAATCCAAAATGTATTTTGTATATTCTTTTGTTGCTTACCCAGCACAGCCCCACTTTCCTAGCCTAACTATAAGATCTTGTTCCTCCTTGGCCTGACCTGAACTCTTCGTTTTGGGTCTATCGCACCCGCAGAGAAACACACACACACTCTCCCCTCCCCTCCCCACCCCACCCCCAAAAAATACCCCAAATGCAATGGAGAAGATTGTGTGATCGCCCCCATTAGTGTATAGTTGGATGTAAACACCTCATAAACTGCCATTTGCCACGCTATATAATCTCTAGGTTCAACTGTGTCTTGGCTGCGGCAATTCATTTAGTTAGTCTTAAGCGTTTACAATCGAGTTTTGATCTGGTTTTCTGTGTTGAATGCAAATTGCTGTTCCTTTTGCTATGAAACCAACCTCCCTCCACTTTTTGGCACTTTGTGTTGGACGCGAAACGAAATGATATGATATGAGAGATGAGAGAGATCCTGTATTGAATTGGAATAGACGAGAATGCAACGAGAACGAGCGCTCGTTGACGGTGATGATGCTCTGAGCATCATGTTAATATTATATATGTATGAATAATCTACCACATAGCAACCCATTGTTCTATTATTTAAAACTTATTATGAAACACTTAATAATGCAGAAAAGGTAGAGAAGAGTAACTTACAAGTACATACATATATAAAAGAAACAGAATCCCAAAAGAATTAAATCAAATCACAGCAAAAAAAAAAACAAAACAAAACTAACAAACGAAAACAACAATGATTGATGCAACAATTCAAATTATGTGGAATTTCAAATTACCTTATTGTAATTAATATTATTATTATTAATAAAGTATAAGATTTCAAATATCAATAAATGAGAATATGACAAAACTTATCCCCCCGCCCCTATGTATTCAATTTCATTATAAAACATAAAACTTCTCTTCATTTTGTTAAAATTGTTTTTATTAATTTGTTAAAGTCTATTAAAGTTAATGACTTAAGCTTACGATTAAACAATTGCATAATTTATACGTATATGAAAGTAGAATTTCATTAGATTTATTTAATTTTTGCCAACAGTTTTTAACTTTTTCTATAATTTCTTTTATTGCATATCGAATAAACATTTGACACAAGCGAATAAAACTTTGAATACTAAAATACATAAAACCTTCCACTTAAAGCAAAGTAAAGAATAAAAGATACAGGATAAAATGATGGGTGCACTAGATACCGAAACAAAGACAAGACGAAACGATAGAAGACGACGTTATTTACAGGGTTTACAGGGTTACTTAAGATACAAATACATTGAATAAGTATAAGTACACACTGACTGTGTAGAATGTGTAGTGGGGTGGGGTAGTAGAGTAGAATACAATATATAAAATGGGAATATTTGTTGTGGTGTATACGTTGTATAAAAAATAGAATACTAGAGGGCATATCTATGCGTATGTGGTTCTATACGGTCGCTTGAGGGACTCCTCCATGGAATTGCACAGGGATGATACATATGTAAGTTAGGGGAGGGTTACGTCAAAGTACGTCCATGCTGGGTAGAGAGGTGTCTTCATCCTTCCTAATTGCCGAGCACAGCATGGCTGTGAATGTTCTTAAAGTCCTGGGTCTGGGTGGTGCTTCGCAATACCTCCAGCCATCTAATAAAAGAGAGGGAAACCAAAGTTAGCTGGGTCTTTAACTCATGTGGATGTATGTATATGTAGCTCGACTCACCTGTTATATGTATGCGCACTCTCTGCTCTAAAGAAGTACACATGATTCTTGAAGGAGAGCTTGAACACAAACTCCTTCTGCACGGCATCCTGGTGACCGGGCGGCCCCACTGTGTAGCCCAGAAGCGGGAGGCTGGCGAGGGCAAACTCATCCTGGTAGCTCTTATAGAAGTACAAGCAGAACGAGGTGAAGACCACCCAGAGCTTCTGCCAGCCGGAGCTGTTCTTGAATTTACGCAGCAGATAGCCGGACAGCTGGTGCTCGGCCGCGATTAGATGATCGCCCAGTCCGACGGTGGCGCCACGATGCCAGCAGACGTGCAGAGCGGTATTGCTTCGGGACGGCTGCGTCTTGCACTGCTGCTGCTGCTGGAGCTGCAGCTGCTGGGGGGTCAGGGGTCCGCCTCCATTGATGCTGCTGTTCAGGCTGCTGTTGTTGCCGTTCGTCAGTCCGAACAGATCGAGACCTTCTTCGGAGGAGCCTATGGATAGAGCGATAAAGAGACGATCATGGATTAATTTTGGTCCCGTATAAAGTGGAGACTGGGGTTCTGGGTGCTTGCTTACAAGGCCTTGCAGCGTGCTTTTCTTGCCAGCCATAAACAGAGAAAAGTATTCGAAAGTTTAACAAATAAAAGAAGACTAAAGAGAGCTTTTTCTCGTAACGCCTCCCCCTCAATCCCCGTCTAGAAATACTCACTGCAGTTCTTGAGCGTCGTCAACTGAAGCTGCATGTTGGGCGGACGATTCTTGACGTCCGCCGCCGCCTTGGAGAGCTCGGCCAGCCAGAGGGTCTTCTCGGCGGTGGTGCCCGCACTCACCGTAATGGCGCACTGTCCCCCAAAGATAGAGAACGTGTTGTGCTCGGCGTTCTCGGTGAGCAGGGAACGCACCGGCACGTGGCCGAGTATGCGAAAGCTTTGATCCAGCGGCGACTTGGAGCCGTACAGAAGGATGTCCGAGAACAGGAAGAACATGCGCTGCTGCAGGCCGCGCTTGGAGTGCTTCAGCAGGCAGCCCTGGCGGATAAGGCGCCGATGGGGCTGCACCAGCTGCTCGAAGCTGATGTCGCGCTGCAGCTCGCACAGCTCCACGAAATTGGCCGAATCGGGAAGCTGGGCACGAATCTCCTTGGTGCTGCGTATGAGCAGATGGTAGACGGCCTGGCAGTCGGCATAGTCGATGTGCTCTTCGGCGTAGTAGTCGCAGAGCCGCTCCAGGAGGAGCTGATAGTGCAGCAGGCGATTCAGGGGCTTCAACAGCAACTCCCCGATGGGCAGATAGCAGACCTTCTGCTGCTCAAAGTCCTTGTACACCTGCTGGAAGCGATTGTCCGTCTCGTACATGTCGTTCAGGCAGTGCAGTATGTCCAGGTGGGTCTGCACGTACTCGTCGTAGATGGGCAGCGCCGCCATGTGCTTCATCATCACGTCTCCGATGCGGTGGGAGTCGTGGCTGCCACGGCCCTCCCACAGCACCATGCGGTGCTCAATGTCCCGCAGAAAGAGATTGTGGTGCTGGGCCAGCGAGTCGAGCAGCTCGAACAGCGGCTGCAGCTGCTCCACATCCTCGATGCTCAGTACCTGCCGGAACGTGTTGTTCAGCACATCCAGATCCTTTTTGTAGGTCCGCTCTGTCATCAGCAGCTCCTTGGCCAAGAAGTAGCTTGGCTCAGTGGGCCACTTCCTCTTCTTGACCTCCGCCTCGATGTCATGTTGAGTGCTCATCGGATGGCCGTTTCCGTTGTGGCCATTCTGGTGGGGTGCCGTTGCCGTGGCCACGCCAGTGGCCAGTTCCTGCCTCTTGGCATGCTGGATCTCGGCCTGAATCACGTCGTAGGTGCCGGCCTCTGATCGGGAGAGCGAAGAGGACTTATCCGATCCCAAAGTAAGGTCGTAGCGCGTGGGCGGAGTGGTGATCTCTCCCCGCCTATCCAGCGACATGTTGCCATTGATTCCGTGATAGACAGCTGCAAATCAATCAAAGGAGGAACATAAAAATAATGAAATCATAAACTCAAGAATCAAATCAAGCTTAAAGCAAACTGTTAATAATTAAATAAATATCTTAACATCAAATATTTAACGTAAGAATTAACTAAAATTAAAGTAAACTAAAATATCTTTCCCCTCCTTTTTCCTAAATCCAAAGACTTTCACCATCCCGATTTTGTTTGATTAGTGAAGTTTTATTTATTTAGTTTCGTTTCTATATAATTATAATTTAATGCTTGTTTAATCGATTGCTCGTGTACATTTCATTTTGTATTTTTTCTTTTTGCTTTAAGACCTTTCCATATCATCTTTTTGGTTTGCTTGAGTTTATATGTGAGATTTTCCGGTTTAAACGAATTCAATTGAACTGAAATTTCTTTGAGTATTATTATTTTTCTGTCTTGGGTTTTATTTTGCTGTTGTTTGCTTTCAAACTTACTTTCTAAAATTCAGCTAAATGTTTTGTGTGTGTTTCTTGAGATAAATACAAAAAAGGTCAAAGGAAAAGAAATACTCAATTTGCACTCGAAGGATAAAAGGATAAAATTACAACTAGTAGATATTCCATTTGGCAACCGAAAAATACGGTTTAAAAAAGGTATCCTAACTAAATAATTGGTTTCGTTTGTGGTTTGATAAATCATTCGTAATAATAAATGATTCATTTCGAGCGAAACTTTGTTCACAACAACCAATTTATAAATATCATTCGCGACTAAGAGCTAAACACAAATGGATATTTGTTTTGATTCGAATACTTTTGATCTCGATTAATTTTTCGTGAAATTATTGTACGTTGTACGATCTTCTCTGCAGCTCTTCTAGGGCCCACTCCTATTCCCACTAACAACTCTTAAATATCTCTTTCAACTACTATCATTATAAACTTAAAGATCTCTTGATGGAGTTTCCCAATCGGTTTAAAACTTAACAGGGTCTGTCGATTAATTCCTTTTGTTTCTCCCATTTGTAATAGTATAATTATAATTATAGAATGGGAAGTGGGTCTGTTTTTTGTTTTGTTTGGCACATTTATGTACTAGAAACTATAGCTAATAGCTAATACAACATTTCTTCGATTTTGTAATTAGTTGTAATTAATATTTCCATTGTTAATTGCTTCTAAAAACATTTGGCATGTAAATTAAAAACGTATATAGCACAAGAACTATATAAAGTATATGGTTAGAAAACCGTTTGGAGACATTAAGTAAATGCTTTCATTTCAAACAGTGATAATACCGAACACTTAACGGAGTATCTGATCTGATCCGCTTTGATCTGGAGGATCTGTCATGAGGAACTCCAAAGGTATTAAACTCCCTCCTGGAGTTGGGTATTTCAAAGCATTTGGCTGATTTGTCGCATCTTTAACTGAGAGAACACTAGACTTATAGCATAGGTATTTGTATATATGGCAACTATCGTAGTTTAGAGGTTTGATTCCATATACTTATACAATGTATGGATTGACACTTTCGACTGGAACTCAGATTCAGATAGCTGTACGAGTTAGTATAGATCTGGATAACCAATACTGACTGATCGAATACTGAATAGTTGGCAACTTGAATGAAGAATACATATAGATAACTTTAATCTTAAATATCGCGTCATCTCGCTTTGTATGTGTGTGTGTGTGTGTGTGTGTGTGTATTAGCTAAATAACAATTAAACATTTGTTTGGTTTATTCCATTATTCGATGATTAAACAGTGCATTAAAATTTGTTCAACTCGTTTAACGTTTTCGCTCTCGATATATCATCTCATATACTCGTATATATATATATATATATATATATATATATATGTATATATTTGAATGCTGAATTGATCTATAACATTATCATATATATGTATGATATATATATATATATATATATCATTATGAAAGTATTAGATACCGCTAATGGGCAACTCAATCTACCATCCATCCATCTACTATTCGATCTCATCTTTCGATTATTTTCATCCAACATCAACGATCGTCACACGTCATCATTTCGATTATTCGATTATTTAAGGTATTTTGTAAGTATGTATTTTATTTGATTTGTTGTGTGTTTTAATTTGATTAAAATGTCCTTTAATTTGGAATTTGATTTGATTTTCAAACGCTTCAATAACAATTTGCTTGGCTTTTTCTTTGGGCTTCAGTTTTGCAGCTGGTAGGATTTTTGGGATTTTTCTTTTCTTGGTTTGTCGTAAATCAGTCTCAATTACAAATAAGTTGGTTATACATATAAGTACTTGGATTGTGTGTAAAAGTCGTAGAGTTTTTCTAAAAACATTTTTGTTCCAAGGCAACGGAAGAAATCAAAATGCTGCACTCAAAAAGGGAGAGGGGCCACGCCACACGCAACATCCTAGGTAGCCTAGAGAACGGTTTTGTCCCTTTTTTATTCACCCCACTGCTCTTTACTGATCTCATCTCTACTGATCACTCAGGTCATCCGAGTCATGGAACTTGGGCGGAGGATCGACGCGTATGTCCAGGCCACAGGCATAGCGCTCGTACTCAATCGGTTCGCTCTCGTAGTCGGACAGAAAATCGGGATATGGCAGCTGCTGTCGGGGCAGTTGTCCCTCCTGATGCTGCTGCTGCTCCATGGTTGCTCCTCTGGGGGCTCCCCGTCGTATGGTTCCCATGGATCCTGCTCCTCCTGCTGCTCCCGATCCTGCTGCCACCGCACCAAAGCCACTGCAACTGTCCTCACTGGAGTTGGCCAGCTCATCGGAGAGACCTCCTCCGCGCGTCTCGTACTCGCTCTCCTCGGGATTGCAGTAGTTCCGACCATGGTAGGGCTGCGCCTGAGCCGCTGCTGCCGCCGCCGCAGCCGCACTCGAGGTGCTAGCTGCCATGGAATCCTCCCGCTTCAGGGTCCGCTTCTTGGTGCGGGCCGGCTTCACGGGCTGCCCGCTGGCGGGGGGCATCGGGTGATTGGCCGGAGCCGGACGATCCACCAGGGCCTGGTACATCGGCTTCGTGATGTGCCCGAGTCGGTCGTAGCGCGGGAAGCCCATCTCGTCCACGTTGTCGCTCATGTCGAGGCTCTCGAACTTTCCGCTATACTGCGGATAGTCATCGTACTCGTCCGTCTCCCCGCGCTCCAGCTCCTCGTCAAACTCCAGATACTGATCGTCGCGCTGGTACTGGGAGGAGTACTCCGAGCTGCCCGAGTCCATCTCGGGCACATACCCTTCCGAGCACTCGGAGCTCTCGGCCTGCTCCAGCAGTGCAGCGGCCGTCATGTTGGCTCTGATCCTCTTCGCAGGCAGCTGGCGCTTCTTGCGGTAGCCGCGACTCCGAAGTTTCGGGTCCTGGCCGCGCACGTCCAGCGAGCTGTCCGTGTCGTTGCCACTGGGCGGACTCTTCAGGGAGGTGACCACAGCTGCGGCTGTCAGCTGCGCGCTGGCTCCCTTCCGGGGGGGCTTCTGCACCAGCTGGTTCGGGGGCGACTCCGAGCTGAGGCTGCTCGAGTAGTAGGGGGAGCAGCGGATCAGCTTGTCCGCCCGCTGGGGCATGTGGGGAGAGTAGGGTTCGGTGCTCTCGCTGTTCAGGGTGTTGGTGGTCGTCGTGGTGTTGGTGGCCGACGACGTGGAGTGCGCGTCGCGCTCCTCGTCGATCCGCATGGGCTGCTCTTGCGAGGACTGCTGCGACTTGCTCAGCATGTGCTCGTGGAAGGAGCTCGACTGCCGCAGCTGCTTGCTGCTGGTCTTGAAGTCCCGTATCTGCGTCTTGGACAGCGTCTTGTCGTCGTAGCTGTGATGCTTGGCCAGCGGCTTGGCTGGCGGTGCTCCCACATCCCCGGGCAGATCGCTGGGCGTCACAATCGGCGGCACAGTGGGCACCGGCGGAGGAGCTGCCTTCACCGCCACAGGAGGCGGCACATTCTTCGCCTCTTCCTCTGCCTCAGCGGCGGCGGCTGCCTGCTCAGCCAATCCTGGCTGCTTCATCTTGTTGAGCAGTGCCTGCATGATGGGTCGGGTCACCGCTGGTTTCGGCTTTATGGGTGGCTGTGGTGCCCGCGGCTTCGGGCGTACATGCTGCTGCTGATGCTGCGACTGCTGCGACTGTTGCGTCTGGATCTGTGTGGTGTTCAGTGCTGCCGCTGCCGCTGTCGCTCCCGCTGCAGTAGCAGTCTGAGCTGCCGCTCCATGCAGTGGCACAAACTCCTGGCTCTGGTACCGCTCGGTTAGCTTCTCCGTGTGCGCATACAAACGCTCCACGAAAGGCGACTCCGACTCTGAGCAGATCTCCTGGCTCTGGTAGAGTTTCGACATCATTTCGAGGGAACGCCGCTTGCGCGCCGCCGCACTGGTCTCCGGCTGTCCGCTGGGGGTGCCGCCTGTCAACGGAGACTGGATGTCCTGGATGTGCTCCTGGCTGGAGCGGCCCTGATTGCCATTGCTGCCACTGCGGCGGTGCACCTGCGGCAGGGAGCAGCGCTTCTCCTCGCTGGGCGAACCCAGCGAACCCTTGCCGCCCGATCCCACACGCTGCTGCTGCTTGAGGGGCGCTGCCACCCCCACTGCCACGAGCGTGCGGCTGCTGGAGGTGGACCACTCGCTAATGGTTTGGGCCATCTCCGTGAGCGTCAGAGTGGTGTCGTCGCTGCGCGTGGCCGAGGTGGGCTCGCTCAGCTTGTCCGTCTCCGAGTTGGAGAGCATGTCGTAGCGCAGGCCGTCGGAGGAGCCGTTGTCCCCGCTGAACTTGTGCGAGAAGCTGCCGCCGCTCTGCTCGTTCAGGCTCTCCGCAGACTTGTTGATGGAGCTCATGCTGGACTTGGTCTGGTTGGACTTCTCGCTCTTGGCGCACGACTGCGTGGACACGGCCGACAGGCTGTCGGAGCCGGATAGATTGGCATACTGCCGCACAGTGTTGGTGCCCGTGGACCACTCCGAGATGCTCAGCCCAATGGAGGTGTCCTCCGAGTGCGAGCTGTGGGTGCACTTCTTGTGCTGCAGTCCCATGCGCACCGTGCCGTCCAGGTCGGTGCCAATGGAGCTCGTCTCCTCCTCGGAGTGGCTCGAGTGGCTGCACTTCTTGCAGCTGCCGCCGCTGCTCAGCCTCTTCTCGTAGTTCCGCCGCACCGTCGTCTGGTCGTCCAGGTAGGTGGTGCTCGCCGACAGGATGTCGTCGATGGAGGTGTCCGAGTTGTTCGACCCGCGCGACAGCTTCCTCAGCAGGGGATCGGGCGAGAGCTGCACCTTGATGGTGCCCGGCATAAAGACTTCGTCGTTGGAGAAGAGCTCGTCCTCGGAGAGGGGGCTCCTAGGGGCTGGCGAGCGTGTGGGCTGGGCCACAATCACCTCGGCGATGGAGTTCTTGCGGGGTCCCGCCCTCGCTGTGGGCTGGGTGGACGAGGTGCTGCAGCTGACGTTGAGCGAGGAGGACAGACACGAGGCGGCACTCAGGGTGGAGCTGAGACAGCTGACCGTGTCGGGCTGGATCTGCTCGCTGCCAAAGTCCTTGTCCTCGAAAGCGGAGGACATGAGGTAGGCGGTGTCCTCGTAGGGCAGCACCTTGGCCGCATCGGGCGGGCCATGTCCATGGGCATCCTCTTCGAGGAGGACCACTTGGTCGGCGCTCTGGGCCTCGCTGGCGTAGTACGTCTCGATGTTCTCCACGATGATGGGGGCTCCGACAGTGCTGGAGGGGGGCGAGGGCCAGTCCACGGAGTCCTGGCTCTGCTGGAAGGACATGCTGGCCTTCCAGCAGAAGGACTTGGGCACGGGCTTGTCCAGATCCGGCATGGCATACAAGCTGTCTGGGGGCTTCACCGGCACATGGTCGAAGGGTATCTCGGGCAGGGGCCAGTCCTCCGAGTCCTGGCTGCCCGCATTCGACAGGCACATCAGCGTGTGCCGCTCCCCGTCGTCCCCATCCTCCTGCTGCTCATCCACGTGGGTCACCGAGAAGCGTCCCGTGACGAGGGTCGGCGACTTGGGGTCGTTTATGCTCCCCAAGCTGGAGAGGCGATCCCCGGTGGCCGAGTCGCACGGAATCTCCGGCATTTCGGCGGAGGTGCGACGATCGGCGTCGGAGATGTAGGCCAGATTGGTGTTGCTCCTCGAATCGGAGCTGAGACTGGGCTGGTGGTCGGTGGAGCCCACCGACTCGTCCCGCATGCTCACCGAGTGCGTGGATGCCTTGCTCACGTCGTCCTCCATGCTGGACTTCTCCGAGGCGGTGCTACGCTCGGAGATGCGCGACAGGGTGCGCCCCAGCGTGAAGCCCGTGCTGTAGCCGATGATGTCCGTGGGATTGACCCCGATCCCGCCCAGATTGCTGGTCATTGCCGGATAGCCGAACGTTGTGGGGAAGTCGTTCAGGTCGTCCTGGTAGCTGGTGTCGCTCTCATCCCTCTTTTGCTCGTCGGGCGACACCTCCTTCACGTCGCTGTCCGAGGAGTCGCGCAGCGGGTGCTGTGCGTCGTAGCGCTCGTATCCCCCGTCCGTCTCCACGTGGTGCCAGGGATCGTCGGTGCTGGAGCTGTTCGAGCTCTCGATGGGGAAGGGCTTCCAGGTGCTCTGCTGCTCCTTGGCGGCCAGATCGCCGCGTCTCTGGGCGGCGCCCAGCGAGCCGGAGCTGCTCTCCGTCTCGAACGAGCCGCGCGACTCCACGCTCAGGGAACCCTTCGAGTCGAAGCTCGACTTTGACTCTTGGGAGCTGCGATCGCTGCCCGATTTGCCCGGCTCCGCTTGGGTCACCGACAGCTTCTTGCCGGCATTCGCACGGGCCGGCTTCTCGATCCGCGGCGGCTTTCGCGATCCCCCCGAACTCGACTCACTGTCCTCGGTGGTCCGCTGCAGGATCTTGGCTATGCGCTCCTCAATGGGATCCAGGTAGGACTCTGTGCTGTTGCCCAGATCGATGGGGCTCTGCTTCTCCAGCGTGGGCGTCGTTGGCTTCTTTCCTGGGGTCAGCACTTTGGGTGGCGGCTCATTGGTGGGCGTCTGCTCATTGGATCCTCCGGAGGGATCCTCCAGAGGCTCCTTGCCGGCGGCCACATCGAGTTGGAGCATGCGCTGCTTGAGCTCCTGGCACTTTTTTGCCTCCTCGTTGCCAAAATCCTGCGAAATGCCCAGCGGCCGGGCTATGGAGCAGCTGACACTCGACTCCTCCTCCACGGAGCTCTTCTCCTTGCCCACCGACAGGCTCCAGTCCTGCTGCCGCTGCGGGCTGCTGTCCTTCTCCCCACTGGTCCACGAGTCCGAGCTCTTCGATCTGTCGCTCTGCTTCTCCAGGCTGTACTTCTTCTTCCCGTCCGAGGAGGTGTACTTCTCGAAGGTCTCCAGCACGGACTTCTCGATCATGGGACTGGCGTTTGGGGGCGTCACCAGTATGTTCAGCTCCGACGTGGGCGTGGCACAGTTCGAATACTCCAGCGGGTTGGCGTCCTCTAGGGTGGCCTGCGTCTCGAGAATATTCCGGTCGGGCTCCAGGGTGCGCGGCTCATTCTCAGATGTGTCCGATCCAATGAACTCGTCGCATTCCACGGTCATCCAGGAGCCCGTCTCGTCGCTGCGACTGCGGTCGAGACTCAGGCGATTTGTGTCCTGCCGCCCGACCTTCAGATGTCGTCGCTCCGAGGAGTTGTCGTCCTCCTCGATGGAGGGCTCCTCGCACTCGATGGTGGGCACGCGATGCGGGTAACCTTCTGCCCCGGCGGGCACCGGCGACCTGCTGGCTGGCGAATGACTGTCGTCGGCCGACACGAACGAGTCCAGGCTCTCGGCGGTAGAGGCCTTGCGGCTGTGGGTGCACTCGCTGTCGCGTGCATCCTCAGAAGGCAGCGAACGCTTCAGGATCTCCAGCGAACGACGCTCAGAGATGACGGCCTGCATGTCGATATCCTCCTGGACATTGTACTGATGGGCGAACATGCGGCGGTCTCCGATGGCGCTGCGGGCCACAGGAGCGGGCTTCTCCTCGCTCTTCTTGGACGCCACAGATTCGGCGGCAGCTGCTCCTGTCTGCTGCCGCTTGTCGTCTAGGCTGCGCGCCTTGATGTCCGTGCCGAGGTAGTGGTGCTCGGCGGGTCGCTCCAGGCTGTTGGACTTCCCATCGATCTTCTTGTGGACGACGCTGCCCTCAATCCTCTGCTTGATCTCCTGGGCCTTGGCTATCTTCTTGGGCGACTTGATGAGCATGTCCTCGGGCACATCCGACTTCTCCGAGTCCTCGAAAGATTTGTTGCGATCCTCGAAGCTGCGGTTGGCCTTGTCCAGTTTGTCGGGGCTGCGGCCCTCGTCGAAGCTGCGACTGAACTTCACCAGCGATGTGTCCAGCTTTCGCGGTGCCTTGGCAATCAGCACGTGATCCTCGGCTTTCGACTTGAACTCCGTTTCGATGATGATATTGTCGCCGTCCGTCTTCACCAGAATCTTGTCCTCTGGCGCGGGGAATGCGGGCAGCGTGTCCTTCACGGGACTCAGCATGGTAATGGTCTGCTTCATGGCCGATTCGTAGAGCTTCTGCTGTCGCACCTTGCGCTTGGCAATGTCCGCTTCGGTCTCCTCCTGCGACTTGCTCTTGTCCTTGCTCAAACGGCGCATGTCAATGGAGCGGGGTCGCTCCTTGGGACTGGACTTCTTGCTGCCACCGCGGCCATCCCGGGCCTTAATGTCGTCCGCACTGGTGCGCCGCGACTCGGGACGACTGCGCGACATGGGCTTTCCCTTATAGGGCTCCGATGTCTTGAGCTTGCCCTTACCCGTGCTCTCGATGCTGCTGGCCCGAGACACGCCGGGAGAGGTCTTGCGCGAGCTGTTGGCCGAGCTGTACGGCGACCAGTCGGTGAAGCGATACTTGGGAATGTTCAGGATGAGGTGGTCCCCGCTCTTGAGCCTCGTCTTGGACTTCTTCTTGTCCTTGATCTTGACGCCCTGCAGGGCTATCTTCTCGATGTACTTCAGCTGGTTCAGCAGCTGCACCTCCTCGCTGTCGATAGTCACGGCGCTGAGGAGCGAGTCCTTGCCGTTGGCATTGTTGTAGCTGCTCTGCGTGGGAATGGAGCCGCCGCAGGAGTGCACACTGTCCGCGTTGTCATCGTCCTGTGCGGCCGCCTGATTGGCACGCTCCAGCGACTTTTCCTCCAGTATCTCGGCCTCTTCCTCGAAGCCCACAGTGTCGTCTTTCGAGGAGAAGGCATTCATGGGCGGCAGGCGATGCAGGGAGATGACTGGCGTGTCCAGGCTCTTGGTGCGCCGATCTGCCGTCGGCGACTGCACCTGTGTGGCCTTCTGGCGCTGCAGCGAGACCGATCCCTCGGAGAGGTTGAGTCGCGCATGGGCAAAGAGGATCGGGGCATGGCCCTTGGACCGCAGCACTATCGAAGAGTCGATTATCTCCTCGATGAGCTTCACCTTGGACTTGGTCGCCTGCGATCCGCTGGCCGTTTGCTTCTTCAGCGTGTAGTCAATGTCGGACCCGGTGATCTTCTCCTCGTGGCACGTCTCGTAGATGTCGTCGTTGCTGCGGAAGAACTCCGCATGCTCCAGTATGGGCGAGGGTATGTTCTCGTTCCGCTGGTAGTCGTTGGTGCACTCGTCCATGCGTCCGCGCATCGGCACATGGGGCTCGTCCTCCGACGAGGGTATCGAAATGGAGCGCTCCGAGATGCGCCTCAGCTCCGTGGCGTTGGCGTACTGCGGGTCCAGCTTCTGGGTGTGATAGCGACTCTCCAGATCGGCCAGGCGACGGCACTGCGGCGGCGAGCCCTCGATCTCCGTGGAGCTCATCGTCTGGCCCCTGCCCCAGGCGGCCGAGATGAGGCGACTCTGCTCGATGCGCAGGATCGATTCGATCTCCTTGCGCGACTGCGGGGGCGAGAATTCCAACCGGTCGGGGATGGCCTCGGCCGAGCCGAAGACGTCGTCGGAGTCGAGACTCTCGTCGTCCGACGAGAACGAAGTGATGCGGGTCTTGCCATGCTTCTTGGACTTGACGCCCGACTTGGTCTTCGGTATGACGCGCGGCTTGTTGGCCTTGCGGGCATTCGCCTGCAGCTCCTTGCGCAGGCTCTGGATGAGCTCCATCTGCTTCTGCTCGAGCTTCTGCTGCTGCTGCATGCTCTCGGTCCGCGAACTGGTCGCCGAGTCGCTCTCGATCTGGCTCAGCTTCTTGTTGAGCTTCTCCAGCGTGGAGGCGTCCATCTGCTTGGTGATGTCCCGCTTCGGCGAGGACAGCTGTATAGTCGGTATGGTCTTGTCGATCTCCAGCGTGATCGGATCCACCTTGGACAGGTCAATGTTCTGCGTGAACAGGAACTCCTTGGTCTCTGCCGGCAGCAGGCTGTCCAGGATGTCCGGCAGGAAGTCCGTGCCCATTACGGGCAGCACTGCGCCACTGGCCTTCGGCGACTTCGGCGACTTGGGCGACTTTGGCGACTTCGGGGACTTTGGCGACTTGGGTGACTTGGGCTTCGTGTGCTTCTTCTCGCCGGGCGAGGGTGCAGTGCCGTTCATGATGTGCCGCTTGTGCAGCACATAGGGTATGTCCTCCTTGAGCACCTTGGTGAAGCGCCGCTCGTAGTCGCGGAAGAAGCTCTTCGGCAGCTCGAAGCCTGTCTTCGGCAGCTCCTGCTGGGCGGAAGTGCCGCTCCCGTCGTAGCACTTGGGTATCTCAAAGTTTCCGTGCGCCTTGCACAGCGGCGGGGCACTCGGTATCTGCTTGTAGATGTAGTCCTCGTCGCTGGAGTTGGAGTCGGCTGGCGTCAGGTCGATGGACTTCTGGTGCATGAGTACGTGGCGGCGGGAGTTGCTGCCGAGGCGCGCACGGTTGGCCAGCGAGTTGGGGTCGCTCTTGGTGCGCTCCACGGTGGCGTGGCTGTAGCTGAGCGGAACCATTATGGGGTTGTACTCCTCGAAGTGCGTCTTGGCCATCAGCTCCTCCTTGCGCGTGATTTTCTGGTGGGCCATGATCCGTGCCTGCTGCTTCTCGAACTCCGATATCAGCTCGGGCGTCAGCGGGTATTCGGGGCTCTGCTTGGACTCCTTGTCCTTGGGCTGGCCCTCCCACTGCTTGGTGTACTTCTGGATGCACTCGATCCGGTCCTGGTCGAAGCTGAAGATGTTCTCGCTGTCGGAGCGCCGTCGGAAGGCGGAGATCTTGCACGACTGCGAGTTGCTCTTGCGGAAGGGCGCCGTCTGCTCGAGCGATTCGCCCGTCTGGATGTCCTTCTCCTTGCAGCGCATGCCCGAGGCCGGTGTGGACACCGATTCGGGCGACTTGGCCCCAAAGGACTTGGCATTCCGCTCGATCTCCACGTTCTGGAGGCTTATCGAATGCACCTTCGAGGTCTTGTGTGTCTTGTTGCTGGGGAACGTCGAGTACGTGTCGCGGCTGTCGTAGAACGAGCTGTTGGCCGTCGAGCTGTGGGTGTCCGAGAGCAGGCAGTCGTGGCTCTTGACCTTGGGCCGGGAGTAGAGACCCTCGGGTGCCTCTGCCACGCCACCAACAACAGCACCGCCACCGGCACCGCCCGCCTCCACAGCGTCATAGTAGTCGCTCTTGGAGTCCTGCGAGGACTGGGCGAACTTGTCGTAGAGGTCCTTCTTGTTGAACTGCTTCACCTTCTTGCAGGTGGTCGTGGGCATCTCGTAGTTGCGCCCGAAGCAGTCACCGACCAGGGACTCCTTCGAGTCCTGGCTGGAGGCCACCGAGGTCTTGCTCTTGGTGGTCTCCCGCGACTTCTTGCTGTCCGTGTGGTAGAGGCTGTCGCGCGACTTCTTGCTGGAGTCGGAGCTGCGCGAGATCTTCGTCTCGAACATCTCGCTCTGGCTCTCCTGACTGGAGGTGCGCGTCAGAGCCTCCTGGATCTTCTTGTAGAAGTTCCCGTCCGACTTCACGGAGAGCTTCTCGCGCGGCAGATAGCGCGGATCCTCGGCGTCCCAGATCTCGTTCATTATGTCCGCCGCGGACTTGGACTTCACGTCGATGGCCGATCGGTACTTGGGCTGCTCCGAGACGGACTCGTCGTCGCTGGGTATGTAGTTGCCGGAGTCCAGGGAGCAGGAGCGCATGTGATCCTCGGAGCGACCGCGACCGCTGAAGAAGTCAATGTCGTACTTCTCCAGCAGCTCGTAGCTGTCCTGCGAAATGTCATCCTGTGAGCCCGAGTAGTCCAGGTGCTGGCCATGGCCATGCCGCTTGTCCTGGGCGTTGTAGGTGCTGCCCGGATAGCTCGAGGAGTAGACCTTGCTCTGCGGCAGCGGGGAGAAGTCTTGGTGGGCATCAATCGAGTGGTTCTTGGGTATGTACAGCGAGTGGCGCGAGTCGTCGTACCGTGTGACGGGCGAGTCGATGCGGTTCGAGGAGAGGAACTCTTTGTCGAGGACCGTCATGGGCTTGGGATTCTCGCGGTCGTAGTAGGTGCTGCTGTAGCGCTCGAATAGGTCCTTGCACGAGCTGCTCTTCAACCAGGACTCACGCTCTACCTGATCGTAGATATTCTCGCCATCCCCATCGCCATCGCCATCCTCCTCGTCCTCATCCTCCTCCTCGTCGTCCATGTAGTGGGCGGCCGCCTCCTCGGGCTTCACAAACTGGGCCGTCGAATAGAGATTGCCCGAGGACATCTGATACTCGAGCTTCTCCGCGGAGGAGGAGGACTGGCGTGCCGGCGGCGGCAGATTACCCACCGAATGGTGGGTGATGTAGTGACTGTCGTACGAGTCCACCGAATCCACGCCCGAAAGCTCCGAGTTGCGTGGCAGCGAGTGCGTGTGCCTGGAGCTCTGCGAGTCCATCGAGGGCGTCAGATAGTTCTCCGACTGCGCCAGCTTCGCCCGCTCGCTCTGGCCCCCATAGCGCTTGGTGCCGAAGCCGGTGCCAAAGTATGAGGACGAGGACGACTCCGAGGGGTGATTGAGATCGTTGTGATACTGGTTGTAGTTCATGCTGTTGTAGTTGCGCTCCTGGAGCACGGCCGCCGCATAGGCCGATGTGCTGGGCTGCTGCAGAAGTGGCGGTCCCCCCATCTGCTTGGCCCGGGCATACTGGATGATGGACTGATCGATGAACTCATCGCTGAAGTGCTTCTCGCGCGTCTTGGACTTGGCCTTGCGGTTCACCGTCGCGTAGATGTCGTTGCGCTCGTTCAGATTGAGGTGCTCGCTGTTGGAGATCTTGTGCTCCTGCTCGTGGGGACGCGGATGCGCATGTGGCAGGGTGCTGTGGAAGTCCGGGTATTTGTAGTGGCCCATGTCGTTGATGTCGGTGTAGATGATGTTGTCGGTCTCCGTTTCGGTTGAGTTGGCATTGGCGTTGGCGTTGTTCAACATGCACTGCTTAGACATCGAATAATTGGTACTGCTATAATGGACTGGGGTGACAGTTTGCGACTGGGACTCCTGTGACCGAAGCGGCTGACGATGGGCACTGGCCAAGGCCAATGCCGAGGCCGAGGCCGATGTTCCCGATGCCAAGGCCGATGCTGCCGCCGCTGATGCTGCCGTTATAGTCTCCCGATTGATGGTAGATGCTGTCAAGTCCGAATCCGCTTCCTCCTCGACTAATTCCTCCTCCTCCTCCTCCCCCATAGGCTCCTCCTCCGCCTCCTCCTCCGTGTCCGCAGGCCCCAGGAATTCCTCCTCCTCCTCCTCCAAGTCCATGGAGCTGCTGAGATCCACCGAATGAACCCCCGCCAATGTGCTGTGTGGCATAGTGTTGCTGTTGTTGTTGTTGTTGATGCTGATGCTGGGATTGGCATTGGGATTGGCATTGTGGGTGCTGTGGGTGCTGATGCTGATGAGCTGCGGCGACGCAGGGACAAACGCCTGGGATCCCACTGAGACTCGACGAGGGGTGCTGCTGCTGTACAAGTGGGACAAGTGGCTCAGACCTGCATAGGCGCGCAGAGAGCAGCAATCAGAGACAGAGACAGAGTGTTAGCAATCAATCAATCACGATCAAATGTGGGACTGGGACTGGGACAAACGAACGCCAAACCGAAATCATATCGAACACAACGAAACGTGGCACAAGGGATCACAAATCAAAACACTGAAAACAAAACTGGGTTAAGGCATTCACCATTCGCATTCCGTGTGAAATGGCACAGAAATAATACAACAATTACGAAAATTGAGGCTACAAATAACTTAGGCGTAAAATTATACAATTTAATTGGGGGTGGAATTAGAGGTCTGCATCTACCCATCGACAATTCCCAAAATGAATTGAGTGAAATGGAATGCTACACAGATAGAGTTGGAGCGAATGAATGCGATCCGTTAGACTCGGATGCCCAAAATTTTAACGAAGAGGCACGATTTGAATGATTTCAATCGAACGCACTCATATTTCTTTGACTTCCTTTGCACATGCATTGTATGTACAATGTACATAGGCACAGAAAAATAACGAAGGGTATTTTAATTGTTCTTTTACTGTGCGTAAGGAAAAGAACGAAGGGCAATGAAAGATTACATAAAGTGGCCATAAAAAAATTCGAATATTTCGAATGGCTTCGTCTATGCCAATTCTTTCGCTTCAAACGCTGTGCGACACAACACACCCACGCTGTATTATACTGCCCCTCACTCAATTCATTTTAATGGCTTTCTATTGCACTTAGGGGGGGCTAAAGCATCGCAGATCTCTAGTTGGAGTCCCCCTTTGAAAGGAAAGCATCATGCAACATCTATAACTAAAGACTAGGAAGTACCAGTGGGTACCATTTCACTAGTATTTTTTGGGATTTAAATTATACAACTATAACTAAATTAAATCTAAGAATGTCTTAAATCATAAATGTAACCTGAATCTCTAAACTATAAAATCCCATTATCCTTAGTTGGGAAATAAATCATATCATAAATAATATAAGAATCTATTAAGTGGATACGATCAATCCACCCCTTAAGTGGCTTGAACAAATACAATATTATCTCTAGGAATAGGTTAAATCATATGAGAACATAATTAACAATAAACTTTGGCTTAAGAATCAACTCAAATGGTTTTTGGGGTTGGGGCACACCTGTGCTATGGCAGCTAGGGCAGCACTCACCTATATTGTGATCGCCTGGATGCGCACGAGCCTGATCGGGAGCGTTGCGTGGCGGTGGCTGCGGTTGGTGGTGGCTGCTGCTGTGGCTGGGCGAAGTCCACGATTGCGGACCCTGTGGTGAAAGCGAGCGGTTCGAATTCATTTGGTCCATAGCCACTGCCGAGTGGTGTTGACGTTCCGCCGCCGAGCATGACGCCGCTTCCTCCTGCGAGGTGGGCGATTCCGCTGCATAGTTCTTCGTCTGATAGATCTCCACCTGGGCTGCTGTGACCTAAAAGAAGCAGCAATCATTAGACACAGAACTAGAGAAGTCTATGTACTTTAAAGACTAACTTGAGAACGCATGTGGTCGATAGGATTGTCGCGTCGGCGATCCAAGGTATCCGCTGCCTTCTTCGTCAGAGAAGGGGTCATCGAGTCGCTGCATTGATTGCGATAGTCCCATGCCGCTGCAGAGATCCCAAATTAAAATCAAAAATCATTACAAATCATATAGGATATAGCATATAGAAGACTACAAGAAGAACAACTCGACTCGACTACACACACAACACACAGATAGCAGATAGAAGGCACGGGCACAGGCACAGGCACAGGCAGGTGCGTGCCCGCACATTCATTCATCAGCTAAGGCGACAGAACCGATAGGCAAATACATATGTAACTCAAAAATTGTAACTAAATAATCGAGAAATAATCAAATCAGAAATCAGAAATCAAAATACAGAAAATCGAATACATTGAATACTTGAATAGTTGAGAACGCATGTTGTAACGAAATAAATACAAACCAGTGTCAATTGGGAGTAGGGGATTGGCTGAAATGCTGGAATTCACATACGTATGCGATTGACTTCGGCTACTAGCATTCAGTGGCCCTTGCCGGAATGACTGAGACCTGCAGCAAAAGAAAAGACAAGAGGATACCACGCTTTATATATTTTCACATGCTCAGTTTTTGTTTTTTTTTTTTGTTTTTCTTTGTTTTTAGTTTGTTTTTCTTTAATTTTTGTTTTGTTTTAGGATTTAGCTTTAATTAAAGTTTTTCATTTTGGGGGTTTAGTTTTTGGAGAGATTAAGTTTGTTTAGCACAGTTTTTAGTTTGAAAGTTGTTTAGTTTGAGAGCTCTGAGGGACGTCAGTTAAAAGAATAATAAACACAAGACACAAGAAAACTTAGGGGAGTTTTAGATGTTAAGGGGTTAGTAAACAACTAGAAAATAGAAGTTGGAATAAAAAAACACAACACAAATATCCATTATCATAGGCAACTACTGGGGTGGGGTTCCTTAAAGGAAGTCTCAGGACTCAAAGGCAAAGATTACTCCAAGGGATATTTAATATTATATTTATAGAGTACATATACCAAACATTATCCGATTTAAAAGGTTCTAAGCTCTAAGGGATCGCACACGACTAATAATCTACACATTTAGTGGTTGGGAGCAGTAGGGGGAGTCTTATAAACTACTTTATGCTTGTAGGTACAGTCTAAACAAAACACACAACAATTGTACGACAAAAGCAGCTTTTTATTAAGTATTTTTGAGTGCAGGGCAAACCAAAGATGAGAACCACAATGATTAGCGATGATTTGTAAGAGTTATTCCATGAAATTGTCAGAGATGAATGATAACAACACAAGTATTATACATGGTAAGTACACATAAATATTGAGGCCAATTTTGGTTAGTTATTAATGATTGTCGCTAGTTACACAAACACACGCACAGACACACATCCTTATACACACAGATTTGTTAGTGAGGGAAATTATAAATGGAAAATACATTGGAAAATTAAATTGGAAATCAAGAATGATTGTAATTGGAATGCTCGTCATTGCTCTGCTGTACATATCAACTAAATTTTGGTATATATTTTTCGGGGTTTGTTTTTCTTTACTATTTTTATGCAAAAGTTTTTGTTTTTAGTTTGTTTTTGTGCTTTTGTACCAATTGGTTTTTAGATCCTCTTCTCTTTTCTAAAGCGCGCCACCAACATTTCGACCAAGTTATAGAGTTTCTTGTGGTGTATTTTTTATTGTGGGGGGGTGGGATTTTTTTTTGTAGGTTTTACGAAAAAAGAAATTGATTGATTTTAGAATTAAAAACAAACAAAAAACGATTATACAAATGTTTTAAAAAAGTGTAAAGAAACAACGAACGAACGAATGAACGAACGAGCAATCGATCGAACGAACGAACGAACGAACGAACGAGCGATCGAACGAATGATGCAAACGAACGAGCGAACGAACGAGTCGAGTTTTTGGATGAGAACGAAGTCAGGATGAATTGGCAAATGTAGGCTGATGAATATATTATTTGCTTATAAAATATATATGTATATATATAGAGATATAGATAGAATATTTGATATTTTGTTGGGACTTGATTTGGAATTGGTTTTTGGTTAAGGAAATATACGAGTATAAGCTGCAAAAGCCAAAAATTTCATAAATTCCTTCTCAACCGAACAAAATAGGTAAAGACAAAAAATGGGAGGGAAACTTTTGCCAGAATAAGGGTTGATTCACAAGAAAAGAAAGAAAGTCGAAAGCTCCCCTTACCTTTGGAAATTTTGTCGCTTCACATAATTCTCGCGTACAAACTCGATAATCTGTTTCTGCGTCTTGCCGCTATAGCTGTGAGGGCAAAAGTCAAACAATTATAAATACGAATAAATACATGTATATCCCTGAAGAAAAACCTACCGAAAAGAGCTGCCACGTGAGAGGACACGAGTCTTGCGTCTGGGGGTATTTTGCACTGTGGTGCAGCGAAAGAATCCATGATTCTCGACGCATTTCTTCCAAAAGTTTTTGCACTCATTGCGACCCTCAAAGAAGAATTCCACCGTGTCCTTGTAATAGCCCTGCAATACACACAAATAACATTCAATATGATGCAATAAATAAATGATCTTCAACACTCGTATTTACATATCCCTCTGGGTGTAGTTTCACCAGAAAACGTTTGCGCTTGAACGATATCTTGCGTATCTTGGCCCACGAGAAGGTATTGATGCGCGTTATGTTCTGAAAGACGGTGATGCCCATATGGGCGACCGCAAGATTGAGCGGCACGCCCTCCACATCCTTGCCCGGATGCATTTTCATGCCATAAAGCTCACAGCGTCGTGCGGTCTCTAGGAGATTAAGATCCGCTTCCGCTGGGGATTGTCCGCTATGGAAAAACAGAGGGTGGAAAATATATTAAAAATGTTTTGGGCAGCTCCCGAATGACAGTCGCTTACACATGCTTCTTGTGATTCTCCATTATCTTCCGCTGCATGGTGGCATCCTGATGGGGCACAAAGCGATACGACGATAGATACGTATGATCGGGGTAATCCTCGGGCACAAAGTCCCCGCAGGAGGCCTGTACAATGTAGCTGGCCATCAGGGCAGCCGTATTATCGTTGCACTGCAGACTTCCTGTGGCCAGGTCTCGTTTGATTTGCAAGCAGAAGAGATACCTACAAAAAATACGATTAGCCTTCGATTCTCTCTAGAGGTTTCAGAGGGATATCTGTACCTGGTATACTCCTCTTCTAGTTGCCCTGGATCTGGTGTGTAGAACTTGATGCAGAAGCGCAGCACGGGATCGACGAGCGAGAGGCCCACTTGGCGATTCATTGGCTTCTCCAGATCCAGCCAGTATTTGGTATGTGTGGACATTTCCTGGTACTCCAATCCGAAATAGTCCGCCTCGAGTAAGTTTAACTGACGGCAAACCTGCTCGAAGAGCACACGACCCAATGCTTTGGCCTAGAAAATAAGACAAGAAATATTATTTAGTTATTGTAATCAAGCAAAAAAAAAATACGAATAAAATACCATCAAGGAACATCTTCAAGGTCCGAAGGAACCACTTAAATTCAGTCCCCAAAACCCCTGCCACACTACTCTTCAATGTCAGGTCTGCAATTAAATGCCTGGCTCTCCAGCCCAATAAATTACACGCCCAATTTCGACAAGCCACGGAGGTTCAGGTTGCTCCCCGCTAGCGTCTTGGACGATGCACACTCGTGCACACTTATTGAGCTCGTTAAAATCTAATCTAGCATGCAGTTTTCAGATCATCTCAGACGACCACAACGACAACGACGCCACACGCCACACGACAAATGCTTTTTTTGTGGGGGCGTTGCAACGTCCGATTGCATTTGAATAAATTTCAATTGAGTTTGACGCCCGGGCTTGGGCCACACTTTGGCACTTCTACGAGCAAGTAGAAATAAACTGGGCCAGCTTGTCTCGGGCCGCAATTAAGTTATATAAAAATTATTTGGGTCGTCGCTTTTCGCCAAAGTTCGCGCAGTGAATGAGTAAATAATGAGTGAGAGAGCGAGTGCTTTGCATATTTTATAAAATATGTGCCATATACGCGCAGTGCAACTTTCGGACAGAATAAAATTCAGACGAATGATTTATGTGTTTCTAGCATTCAAATTGCTGCCAAGAGAGCAGTTACAAAAGCTATACGAAAAATACACTTTGAATTTATGGCATATCAAAAAGAGATGTTCATCATGTAGAGCCCCTCCCTGAAGTCATCTTTCCAGAACCACACCACCACCACACCCTTTAATCGTTTTCTAGCACCACTCCCAGCTGAAACCTTCCACAGGAATATCCCTTGACGCCTCTCCTCCAATTACCTTCAGGGACTAGCCAGCAAATGAGTCAAACAGCCAGCTAATGGGCCATAAAATCCTCGGAGCTTGGGCTTAACACCTATTAGGATTCCAATTTCAATTTGCTAATCCTCTTACGGCAAGCCATGTGTGTGGCTCGTGACTCGTGGAATATATTAATTTCGGATCGGAAACTAAACTCCTCTCCAGATGTGTCCGCATTTGGCAAATAAAGGGATTCCGTCTAGCGTCGGCCAATCAAGGAAAGTGCTTTGTCAGTTCGACTTTGCCAAAGATCCCATTCGGCACAGGCCACAAGCCACAGGACACACAATCTATCAGAGTGTGAAATGTGCTGCAAGGCGTGCCAAAATGTTATTAAACCCTCTCTCTCTCTCTCTCTTCTCTCTATTTGAATATTTTATTCCTCTCATACATATACATAGAAATGTAAACCGAGATATTAAGGACAACAAATTTTTTGGCAAAGGACCAAAATGCTTTTGCGGCTTTCATGCGCATAAATCGAATGAATAGAACCCAAACAGAATTGGGCGTGGCATGGCAGGACATCACATTAAATAAAGATACTCGTAAAAGCTCCAAAAAGACAAAGACAAAGAACAAAATCATTAAAAAGTTCAAATAAAATAAAATAGAACTCTCATGGAAAAAAGGATGCATGATGCATTTGCTTGTGCGTCTGCCTGTCTCTCCAGTTGTCAAAAAATTAATCCCACAGCAATGGATGCAATTGCGATCAGTTTATTTTTAATAAATGTTTAAATTTATCAGCTTTATATTTTTAATTACATTCAATTATATGAATATTCCATTTAAAATCAATTTTAAATGTTATTCTCCAGCAAAGATTGCTAATATCAAGCGACTATCAAATTATATTATGTTCGTTAAGCTCCCCCCTTTTATGAAACAAAACCGAAAACCAACAGCAAAATGAAAACCCCAAAAACCGACAAAAATCGACAGCAAAATGCATGTCATGGAAGCCACAATTAAATTTTCATTTTAGTTTTCCCCATTCAGCTGTCGTCGATGCAAACCCGAACTGAAGTCCCAAATGGCCCCCCATAGAACCCCCCAGCGTAAAACTTTGTGATAACCCTGTTAATGCAATTTATGGCACTTGCCACTTGCCACAAATGCAATTTACAGGCTCGAAAAACTAAAATGTTATTTGCCAAATTTTCGACAATTGTTGTGGCAATTCTGGGAGGGAAATTTTTAATTAATTCGGCCAACAAGAGAAAAATGATGACAGGAGCCACAAGAGCAGAGATACAGATACATCAGGGTAGAGTGCAGGATATTCCCTGGAGATGCTGTGCTCTTTGTCTGCTTCTGGCCTGCTGCTGCTAGAGACACAAATTGGGGCACAGCCACGCCCAGAACCCTTTTATAGGGCTACTCCCCAGAAGCATTTATCTTTTTGGGCCAATTCCCGTCTACTACACGCCTCTTTGCCGGCTACAAAACAAACCAATTAACTTTGGCGACTTCTGCAGGCTGTGAAAAGCGGAAATGGCAAAACGGCAGGAAGCTTTTCTATGCAAACAACCCCCCCTCGCAAAATCCTCGCAATTTTCCCCACCCACATGTGCCAAAAGTTGGCCCACAATTGTCGGTGGTTCAATTTGTCGCTGTGTCGAGAGGAGGAAGCAAACAGCAGAAGCAGTGGAAATGCCAGTGCCAGTGGAAATGCCAGTGCCAGCGGCAGCCAGCAGAAACAGCAAGAGGCAGGTGTTGTCCTCTATTGGATGGAGAATGGTGGAACATTCTACGAGGGAGGTCCACATGCGGGCGTTTCCTTCCACCCCTCCACATGCATTGTCCTTGGGTATCCTATTGAGTGGGGCGCCTAACCCTAACCCCATTGATATTGCTGCCAACTCTCTGAGCTGCGGGCTCTCAGTCCTCGAATGAAAAACTTTCCACAGTAACCAGAAAAGTTGGGAATGTCTTTTCAAAGAGTTCTGCTGTTTATAGGAAAATATGTTTTAGTTGGGAATAACTTTTTGGCGAGTCGGCAATGCTTGTTGAATGGAAAATGTTTTATTTTTGTGGCCAATACTTGAGGATGGGTCTAAACAGTTGTTGCAACAATAAGCTACTCGTAGACTTCGTGAATTAAAAATCAAGTGCGTACTCGTATTAGCAAGCCAAGTCAGAACTGCGGCAGCAACAATCCATCAAAACCGATAGGTTCAACGCGTCGCCAAACTTAGCCATAAAGTATACAAAAAGAAACGATTAAGAACAAAATACAATATGTATTAAATTAAATGCAGGAGCCGCCAAGGCATCAAATTGTTTATTGAACACATATATAAAATGTTTATCCTTCACGAATCACTGGCTTTTGCTGCATAAGCAATCAAAATCGTTTGCATTGTAAGATCCGAAATGATTCAAATTTCTGCAATTGAATCCCCTTCAACTCAGAGACTCTTTATCCGACAAAAAACCCGCAAATCGTAAATGCCTCAATTGTTTGCGTTTGCGTCATAATTTAATAAAGTTCTCGGAGAATGCTTTCCAGTGTTCGTTCCTGCATTATCAGCGAAATGTTTTTCTTGTTGGAAGATAAGCTTTTAAGAATGTTTGCACACACAACACACACACACAGACAGACAGACAGACAGACAGACAAGACAGACAGACAGTGTGGCAGAGTGCTTTTGTTAGCTAAATAAATGAAATGGCGTCAGGATAAAGCACTGAGAGGTGAGGCTCTTAAGGAATGTCGAAAACATAAAACTTTCGGCTGATGCAATGGCAAAATCTTTGAAGTTTTTCCCTTCCGAAAGCATTTAAATTGCCAACATTATTGGCCACATTCTTCCTTTGGGCACGCACATTTGTAAAGTTTGAGTGCTACTTTTCATGGAGCACATGATCCACAAGGTCTGCCACATCCTCACAGCCACATTCAGAGCCACATTATCGTTCACAAGCCACAAAATCCATTAGAAGACTTGATTAATAATGCAGTTGTTGACCGAGACCAAGCCACATATTCATTTCTATTTAAGGGCCAGCATGCGATGGAGAAAACAGTTCTGCAGTGGATATTATGGTTACACCACAAAGCACCGAAGGAAGGGAGGGAGGTAGGCAGGGTTGCAGGGTGCCTTGGGGGGATGGGGTTTCTATTTTTACAAAATGTAACCATGTCAATATATATTACGTATACGCAGTGCACAGCAGAAGAAGTGCATGGCACAGCAGAAATTGTAACGTGATTGAATTTTTAATACCAGTCGGAGCTCAAGGAGAGCTTTTTACGTCTAGTATGATGCTATGATGTAAGTGTGTACTATGTACCCGGTGAAATGTTTGAGGGGCTTTAAGCGGTTGATAATGCCACTGCTCGCTGCTTTGATTTTCCGTAACATTTACCGTAGTAAGTAACCATTAAGCTTGGTTTTTTCTGCCTTTGAGTCTCAGTTATTGGAATTTTACACACATTTTACGCTTGATTATTGCTTTTTACTGCTCAAAGACGCTTATAATAGATAATACTAAAGTTCGCAGATTCCACTGCTTTGTACTAATTGATTTTGATTGAAACTGCCACGAATGGGTTCAATTTAAAAAGATTCACCAATGAAAAATACATTTTCAAGTATTTGTAACCAATGAAAAGCTAAAATATATCATTATAAATCCATGTGATTGATATTTATCAGTATTTTCCATTGCACTGCTGTTATTACTCGCAGGATATTCAATTTCACGACTTAAAATGCATCCTTCCTGCTGTGCCCTGCTCAGTAATTGTTTTCCAACGAAGTATTTAACCAAACAGAAAACTAGAATACAAGCGAGCAACTTCCTAAGCTTAATTTCACAACTAACTGGCATCCCTTTTGAATCCCCTAAGCCCCAATCTCCCGACAGAGGCCATCCACTAGCAATTCCACTGGCAATGTCAGTGCTGCAACAGAGACACGACACAAAAAGTTCAGCCTCCACCAGAGCTGCCCCAGAAGCCTGGGGGCCTGTGCAAAAGCAGAGAAATACCACAAGAGTGAAATGCAGGCGGCGAATGCCATAGCCATAGCACATAAATATAAAAAATAGTTTTGTGTGGAGCAGCACTTTGCAGCACAACATTTACCGAGTGCAAAGCGACGACGGGCAGGCAGCGCCTCAAGTGCAACTGGTTCACAAAAAGGTTAGTCCAGAGCGAAACCACAGCCCCTTAACCAACCCCAACCCCAACCCCATGTGCTGCAACCCCCCAAACAATGGCCACCATTCTGTTGTAGTTGTTGCCCTGAAACATTTCCACTCCTCGCTTGTTGAAGCCTTTGAAATGTGTCTGCACAAGAGGAGAGGTAGGGGCAGAGGTGAGGCTTTTGGGCGTGTCCACTTCAATGGTAGGCAGAAAAATGCCTAAGCCTTTCCACGAGGCCGGGCTAATGGAGCCAGGAAGTGGTGCAGAAACAGCGCCAACAATAAGAACAAACAACAAACTACGACAAAATCCATTAACCAACCCAGAAACTGACGGACAGCTAGCAGTGGGAGAGGAGAGAATAAGGGGGCAGAAACAAAGGAGCAAGCAGGAGTACGAGCATAGAGAAGAGTAAGCTATAGAACAAAGAGGGGGCCTATCTAATGCGCAATATATGTACATAGGAAAGTGCTCCGACTCTGCGCTGCAAGCAACACCAATACAATCACATATTCCCCTCGTATTGTCTTCGGTTTTGCCTGCAAAACATGTGATTGTATGCGTGCCGAGTGCCGACCAGTGGTCTACGCAGATCGGCAAGCAGAGTGTTAAAGCAAGGGGTTTTAAAAAGGAAGAAAGCAATGAAGTAGAAGTACGAGGAGTAAGCAGAAGAATTATGGAGCGCAAACAGTGGCTCAAAGCAGTGTAAGCCTAAGTACGATACGATTTACAGTTGATTCAATTCAGTTTACATTTGATGTAGGCTCGACTCGACACCCAAAAGCAAATCCTTCAAACGAGAACGCCCAAGAAAAAACACTCGAATTTCGCTGATAAGGATTTTGTTTGACTGCTCCCTAATACAAAAAGCCTGCCCATCGTTAGTTTACGCTAATGCTATTTGCGGTCAAAAAATCAGACATGTGCGGTGTCCCGGTCTTAGGCCACAGACAACACAGTTCGTAGACCCCAAAATGCACCACACCCTCTGTCCAGGGCCCTGCCCACTTTCCTCCACTGAAAAAAAAAGACAAGAATCATGAGAAATCTATGCCAAGCTGTTGAGCTGGCCATGTTTTATTTTGGTGGTCTACAAAGGGAAGGGAAGGGCAGAGAGAACGGATGTGCAGCATCTGCACCATCCACTTTCCACTTGCTACTGCAACTGCTGCTGCTGCTGATGCTGCTCCTGTTCCTGTTCCTCCAGCTGCTGCCGCTTCTGTTTATTTCTGCGCCTCTTGTTTGCCAGAGGAAACACCGAAAAAATTTGCTTTATTCGCTGGCCGAATGCCAAACATGCTACCAGCCACGCCTGCCTTCTCCACCCGATACAAGCGCAGGGCCCGGCCCCTTGTCGCATAAGTCTCATCCCCAGAGATTCCACACAGAGTGGAGTGTGGAGTCCTACATACACTCACTATGTCTTTCTTTATTTCTCTCCGACTCCGACTCCACTCTCTTTCATTTTTTTTCGACTCCACTCTGTTTCATTTTTTTTTTCGGGTTTACATTTAATTAAAAGTAGCTTTTCACATATTTTCCCATTTGCACGTGAAATTGTTTGTTCCAAAAGGGAGATGCACACATGAAAATGTATACTGTTCCCAGTATATGGAGGAGGGAGATGCATTTATGCAATTTCCATTTAACGGATGACTTCCGCTTTGGCAGGTGCTTCCTGTGTGAAGTGGAAGATAACTCCGACGCAAAGGGAAAATATATCTAAATATGTATGTACATACTCGTATGTATGTTTATGCCTTACTGGATGGAATTTTCATTGCTTTTTCATACTTAATTATATTAATACGATGAACTTTACGTTTAAATTAAACGAATAAAGTGCCTAAAAAAAGACTAATACATTTGAATACTCGTATCTGCATTCTTTGTTGGATGAGAATTTTGATTCGTTTTCAGATTACTTCTTGGATTCTTTCCTCTTCGTTGCACTCACCTGCACTTGAAACATGGTAACCGAATCATCCAGCATTTGTATGCGAACGGTGAGCTTCTTGCCGCCGCGATGTCTGGGCGTTGAGGGTGTGCCATCCACACCAGAGGGTGTGCTCAGCGAGTGGGTCATCGTCATCCGACCACCGGGTAGACCTCCTGCCGGTCCACCGCCAGAGGCAAGATCATAGTGACGGCCACCGCCACCACCTCCGGTGGATCTTGAGGCTGTACCCATGTCGGCGAGGGACATTTTGTAGACGAGAATATTGGGGGAGCTACCGCTGGAATAAGACTCCAATGACTCCGATCTCTGGCATAGATCGAGGGTCTGTCTTCTGTGGCTGTGTCTGTGTCTGTTGTCTTCTTTAGGAGTTTCTTTTAAATGCTTTAAACATGGAATGCTACTGGGGTTTTCTTCGTTTGTTTGTATTTCGTTTCGTTAATTGAACTTTTTTTCGGCTGTATCTTCGCTTCTGTTTTTATCTGGTTCTGTATTTGTATTTGTTTCTGTATCTGTATCTGTGTTTGTGTGCTTTAATTCGATTTCATTTCGTATCCAGAAAAGAACAATAACAGAACAAATTGAAAGCTATAACGCCACACATCACACACACGCTCTCACATGTGTTTCACATTTGCCACGGCTTCGGACTCGGATGCGTTGTGGTACGTTCCGATGATTCCTCTTGACTTTCCTCTTGCATTATTCGCTCAGAGAGCTACAGATACACATATTCGTTTAGTTTTAAAATTGGTTTTACAGCATTCGGCATGTGGTTGGGGCACTCGTCGATTTCCTCATCTTAGTTCTTTTCCGGATTTCCCATCATTTTCCTATAGAGATTGCGAGAGAAAATATGTTAGTCATAATTTTAAGTGGAGTGGAAATTATTGTCAGATGTAAAACCGAAAACTGTAAGTGGAAATTTATAAGCTTTTAATTTGGGATTATCTATGGGTTCTTGCTGGTTTATGTGGATAAAAGATGCGACAGGGTGGCGAGAAAACTGTTCTACGGAGAGCTGCTGTTCGACTGCGATATGCGGGAGCACTCCTCGGCCTAGTGGGCGGTTTTGCCTGGGATCCGCTTATCATTTTGCAGCCATTTCATTGGCGAGACTCTAGTCAAGCTGCAAAGTGAATTTGTATTTATTTTGTTTTTCCATTCCCGGGGAATTCTCATTTTCGATTTTCGATTGTATGTCTGCATCTGGCGTCGATTGTCGAAGAATAAATCTCGTAGCAATGGGAGCATATTTTTAATCATTCTAGTAGTCATAGTAGGGTCATACATAGGGTCATAGCAGTATCAAAAGCCCATACCTCAGGATATATCACGGACAAATCTGATTAAATCTCAAAGAAAGCGGAATCATGGCAATGTATGTACATATTTTTTCATATTTCCAAAGCTCCATTCCATATCTCAGGATCATTGAATTTCAAAGAAATCGAAATAATCGTCTTAGAAATGTATCAAAACCCTTGCCAAAAGTGGGCGTGGACACACACAGAGACCGACTCTATAAGACAGACGCTTGCATCGAAAACCATTCTTCAGGCCTCACATAATAAATGACAGTCGACAGCAGGCAACAGTGGGCGACAATCTCTCGCTTGGGCTCGTTTCTCTGAGATGCACACAAAAGCAAAACCTCTTCGACTACATATTGAGAAATTAAAAGCACATAAAAGTACCCAAAACAATGACCCAAATAAACGGCTGTCAGGGGAATTATTTAAAACATTAAAAGCCCATAAACATGGGAAATGGGAAATATGTAGAGAAGAAATTAGGGAAAACACCTGTGAAAATAAATGGGCTTATCACGAGAAGGCAGCCACAGAGCGGAGCATGAAGCGGCACGCAATCAAATGGAAGTGGAAGTGGAAGTACTAGTATAACTTCTGGTTTGCCGCCGAATCAAGTTTGATGGGGCACGTGCACCACCTACCCACGTGGTTGCTGCTGGCCCACGCTTTGGATCGCAACCAAGAAAAGAAACTTCCAGCCTACATACAAAAACAGTCTTAGAGATAGATAGATTGGGGATTGGAGTTTGGCGCCCAATTATTATGTGGGATGCGAGACGAGAGGCATGGAGAAAGAAGGAGAAATATAATAATAAAATATGGAAAAATTATGAACAAGAAGTCGTCTTCCCTGTCCGCTCTCTGTCCATTTATTTATGGTTTTGTGTCTCGTAAATTTAGATGCGGACGTGGCCAAACGACTGGCTGTCAATTTGCAAAACTCGGAGAGAGAGATACACGCACAGGATGCCCCCAGTCCCCAGTCGCGTCACATCCATAAGGTTGAATGGGGCGTGAAATGTGTGAATTTACGATGCGATATGGGAATACTCGTATCTTGTAAACCACAAGAGTCGGGGCAGGTTCTTCTTGGGTATATGTAGGAGATGATAACCACAGAGACAAGCGTTGAGTTGACATCGTTCAATGACCCACAAAGCTGATCTTCATCCATTGAGCAAGTTCTGATAACAAAATATAATTCAGAGACCGAGAACTCTTTTTTATATCGATAGGTTTCTCTCTGTTGAAGCTGCCACTTTTCTGTTCGCATAAGTCACGTTTTGTCATAAATAACACACAAATGATTAGCATGTGGACTCATAAAACACATTTCTACAGATGAAATGCTCTCCTTCGTTTGTCTTGTTGCTAATTCTGAGATGATTAATGTGGAACACAACGCTAAAAATCCTTGGAACATGGAGAACATGTTGGGAATTCCAACTAGAAATTATCAAAGGAAGAAAAAGAGAAGATTTTGAAGTAGAAATACGAATAAAAAAGTTTAAACCTTTTTTTCAATAATATTCTGAGATATATTTTATTTTTTTTATATTCTTTTTCTTTTCTTTGCTTGCGTTTGGGTTATTTTTATAATTTTTTGTAGCCTTTTAAGAGCTTGCCATCGATTGTTCCACAAACGATTTGCTCTCGATCTTTGGTGAGCCACTTCTCTTCTCCGTTGATCCTTAATCATAAATGACACACACACACAGAGAGAACACCTTAAACGGCATCAGCATCAAGACGTTGCCGCAATATTAATGATGCTCTGCAATTTATGGGCAAGCTGGTCTCCCAAACATGTCGCTAGAAGCGGTCTCTGGTCTCTCTGGGAGCAAAAGCAGTGCTAGAATGGGGTTACAGTACCGCTTGATGAGCCACCAACTTGGGCCACGGCAAGGCTATATCTACTCGTATCTGTTGGCATTATTGGCCGCCCGGCCGGCCTGGCATACTCTTCAGCATTCCATAAGCTTCAAATTGGCGAATGATGTGCTCTGTGCATCTATCTGTCCCCTGTGACTGGGAGACGACTCCTCCAAAAGTGGAGGCATGAAGAAGTTTTAAACCAGTTTTCACAAGAGTATCTATCCTCCCCGCTCTCCCTCTCTCTCTCTCTCTCTATCTGTCTCCTTTTGTATACATATGTGTGACCCAAAAATTGTTGTGTGAGTCCCCATCAAAGTTTCATGACTTTTATATGCTGTGGAGTGACATAAATTTATGATTCTTTAATTAAGTTTTTGCTTTGCCGTTTTGCCATTCTGACACTTTAGGTGTCCCTGTTGGCTATGGTCGGGAAAGGGCGTGGTTTTCATAGAATTTTCATTTCCATATAAGATTCGTTATAAATATTCCAAAAGAAATACAGTTTTTCATTGGATTTGCAATGGTTAAATTCTCTATGGCTACTCAATTAATTTCTATAGATTTTTGTGTTGTATATTTTCTGTACATAACATTTAAGCAAAAATAAAGTTTTTAGTTGGGGAAATCATCTTGAATCTGCAGATTTTTGTTTTATTTCTAAACATCTAAATCAATATTAATGAACTCTTTCTCAAGATTTTCCACTTAAGAATTTCCAAATTCCGCAGAGAGCTTTCCTCCCATATTTCATTAAAACCCTCTCTTAGAAATCATAATTAATCATTGCCATGATTTCCTCTGCATAAAAATCCATCATATTGGATATTGGATCACAAATAATTGACAATATCAATTCAAACTGTCAATAACAATTTTCTTTGCAATTGGTTATAGTAGAGTTTTCTGCTCCCCTCCCCGCACATCCCTTGCCTTTCTATTATTTTTGTCTTTTTTTTTTAACTTAAACAATCTCAATCTTGAAATCCCCTCTCTTTGTGTCTTTGTATCTGTGATGGCAAATGCATCTCAATTAAAATGTATCTCGAGCATCTTTCATAATTCTTCTGCCAAACGAGAAGATGAATCACTTGGGGCCATTTCTTTCCAAGAAAAATGCACAGCGGGCCAAAGCCCCTGCCGAAAGATCAACAATTGTTGTGGATGTGTTTGTATAGGGCCAAAAGCCAGAGAGATAGATGTAGATATTCTTTTTACAACCCACATGGTGGCTGCAACTCCATCTGTCTGTCTGTCTTTTGGGTTGTGTTTTTTTATTGCTTTAAGTTTCACAGTGGTTTATAAATAAAATGCACCGAACAGAGAATGTATTTTATGTGTGTGCCTGAATATAAAAGGATGCACTCCGCCGCCTGTCCGCCTGTCCGTCAGACGTTCCTCAGATGTGCTACTGGTTGCTGGCGGCGAGTGCATTTCAAAGTCAACTCTTTTTAGGCGTCAGCAGCACTGCATAGCATTACACTGCACTGCACGGCCTTTAGTGCAGTTCATTAAAATATTTATTTAAAGTTTCCCCCGCAACAGAACCTCAACGGAACCCAGGAACAGCACCATCATGGCTGGGCACCCATCCATCGCAGAAGTCCATAGCCAGTTGCTCTTTTTATATGACTCGACGACTCTTTGTTTATCATTGGATTATATATACAGTACAGCCTGACTTTATGGCATACACACAGATGCAGATACTCAGATACACAGATACGCAGATACAGCTACATAACCAGAGAGAGGGCTGCACATGTGTGTCCCTTCATCGTCTGCCTTTTTTATTGTACTTGTCAGCAGATAATATTCTACAGAATCTGCATCTCTTAATTGCTATCTGGCTCTGGCGGGCATCGTCCTATGCAAACCTTTGTTCGCTATAAGAAGTACTTTAATTTTAATTTTAATGGAACCAATAGAAATGGCAACTGTCTTTTCGAACTACCAGAGATACAACCCACTATTCGATTGCCGTAGAGTACTTTTTCGCTCACTTCAACTTATTTTCCATTCATCTATACCCATGCGACCGCTTTAGAGATATTTTCACATGATTGAGGAACCTCAAAGACTATAAACAAAAAGGTTTGCTAATATACGAAACAAACCACGAACTCAAGAAGGAGATGAAGGGGGAAACCACTCATAAATAGACACAACAAAACGCAATTGAAAATGCCGAACAAAATCAATTAGTATTGTCGTTAGGTAGTTCCACAGATACACTACAGACAGACACAGCTCAACCACAGATATAGATACAGAGACTAGACCCAGGCATAGATACCAACACAGATACAGATAAAAGTAGGTACTGCATGAAAAGGGGAAAAATAAAAGTCGTTGACAGCCGGACAACACTTTGACTGAACAAACAAGTGGCTCTGGTTATTGATTAGACAGCAGGCAGGCAGGCAGGCAGTTCCACCCATGGACCATAGACCCCGTGGACCTCTCCCCTTACGAGCCCCTTTTTCCTTAGCGGACAACCACTTTCATGGAATTTACAGCAAATTATAGCAATTTGTTGAACAAAGACAAAGTCAAGATAAAACGCACAGCGCACCATACAGTATACGACATTTGCAAGTGAAAAGAAAAAGAATAACGAAATGAGGCAGGAGGAGGCAGTGCAAAAAAGTTCTTGAGATGAGGTGACAGCCTTGTCGCAGAACACTTGACTGACATTTTCAACGAGTTCTAAAAAAAAACGGGTTAAGGATAAAGCCCAAGTACAGTAGAACCAAAGCCAACAGAAGGATAGAAATCAATCGATGTATAGAGAAATATGAAGGATTTACATATAAATATATAGAGGAAACTTCTTCAGGAAAACTATTTACATGTGAATTAAAACTTTTAGTGACATTTTCAGAAAAGCCTCTTCGAAAAAAGGACTTCCAAATCTCTAAGTGAACTTTAAAGGTTTTTCCAACTTCTGGTTATAATGATTATCCGATTACAACCATCTTAACCGGTTGCTCATATTTCTGTATATATTAGATATAAGCCCGATTAATTCTGTTTCAACAGAGTTTCGATTGTAGATCAAACTATGATAGACACTGGCAATCCCAAATGACAAGCTCCCGTCATTTTTTGGTTACACCTATCACATATCCACTGTAACCATCGCATATCCATCCACATCCACTGTGTATGTGCGTGTGTGTGTGTGTGTATCCCCCACTGTAGCCATGGCTAAGCAGCACTTGAAATTGTCCTCAATTTGTATGCAGCACAAGTGAAGAGACCGCCGTCAGAGCCGACACAAGATACATTTTGAATTTATGAGTATGCTGCACCAAAACGGAAATGGAAATCGTTTTATGCTTCTGACCAAAGCCAAAGCCAAAAAAAAACCTGTTAACGAGTGTAAATCACAACCGAAACACAACCGAAAGACAACAAATTTCAATTAGACCTCTGAAAAAAATAAACAGCAGAGAAAACAAAGGCAAAACAAATTCAATGAATGCAAGTGCCCTCCTCCCCTCCCTAGCATTGGGCCACCCTCAACGGTTTACCTCGCTTTCCATCTCCACCCGGGGGGCGGCCCATTCTTTTAGGTTGCATAAAAGCGCGGAGGGAGAAGAAAAAAGCCAGCACAGAAAGCCAACAAAGCGTATTGAGATCGTAAATAAATAATGTATGGCCTGAGAGATATAGTCAGAGAGAGGAACTCAGAAGTTGGCTCGCAACTTAATTTGCTTTGGCCCATTGGGGCCTGGGGACTGTCAGCAGGCTTTTGTATCTGTGTGTTTTTGAGATACTCGCACAGACAGACTCACTGTTGACCCATTTCATCTGCACGATTAACTCGTTCTCTTTTGGCCAAGAAGCCAGGCAGGCGACGGAGACTGCCCCAAGTTTTATTCGCCTTCTACCAATGCTACGTGTGAGTATTTCTATGTTTGAACTCTGCATCCGTGTTGTGTTTGCCCAGACTTTTGCCATACATGGTCCGGACCTAGCCATTGGATACATGTGGCAGAGTGTCTCACGCGATGGAAACGCTCTTATTGTGTTAGGAATTCATACATAGTATGTGCAACGTGTAAGTTTCCATTTGGACCACTTTGGGGGCTCAAGCAGATTTCAATTGATTTCCAAGCTAGTTTTGAAAACAAGTTGGATAGTAAGACCCTTGATCAGATATTTTAATAGTTAAGAACCAGTTTTTGGCGCGAGGCTGCTCATAGCCAGTTGTTTATCAGGAAAATTGCTTTATTGCTAATCATCATGTTCGTTATTCGTTATTAAAACCATCATCTAGACGACATTTAATCCACTGTTGAAGAGCGCTTCAGTAATCTAAACAATAAATAATAATTATAGGGGGGCTCATATGTATACTGCGACCTATCCATATCTTTGAGCACTGTATGCTTTTCAACAGAAAAATAGAATACATGAGGATACATTTGAATTTATTTTCGAATCAATTTACCCCACAAAATTCCACTATTTGCACTGCAAATAGCAATCAAAGTGAGGGTTTTGTTCCCCCCACCCCATCAATATTTTATTCATTTCCTTGCCGACTCGTGATCGAAACACGATAAAAAAAATGTCCCCTCCCTAGATTTCAAATTGAGCATGAAAATCTGTGGAAGATGATGTCAGCAGAAGGGCGGTGGGGGGGACAGTTGCCAAAATAACGAAAAACGAATAAGTAAAATTCACAAAAAGAGAGGTACAAAAACAAAAACGTAGCAGCTATGACAACAAACGGGTATTTTTAACAGCTACAGAGCAGCGCGCTTCGGACTCAGTCAAGTGTTGTCGTCGCTCGCTTATCTCTGTTCCCGTCCCTCCTCTTCCCTACTCTGCCCCCTGACAACCCTACACACACACACACACACACCACACTCTCGCTGGCATAAAAAAACTGATAACGAAGTGCGCTCAAAGCATGTAAGCGGCCGTGTGTAAATAGACAGCAGAAATACTCTATACCCTATACCCCCCCAATCACAATTCCAGGGACTGACTGCCTGCCCTCTTTTACCCATCGTTTATCTATTTGATTGTTGTCTGTTTTGGAACCCCGTTATAGGAACTCACTCTCTGGTGCTGTAACTGTATTCGGTATTTGTATCTGCATCTGTTTTGTGTATTTGTATTTGTGTGTGGGTGCGAGTGTGTGTGTGTTATCATCAATCTTTGAACCGTTATCTACATATAAGTTGGTGTTTTCATTCTCATTCTCTCTTTTTTTTGCACTACAAATATCGAAGTAAATGCTGATATATTCCGTCATTATGCAAATACAGATAAAGAATATGCTGACATCATACCGAAAATAATGAATAATAAATAGAGTTATAAAGTTTGATTAAAAGTACTGTTAGGGGAATTATTTAAGTTCTAGAAAGGGGTTCCTTAAAGCCTCTCAGGAAAGAGGTTCTATAAAATCCTCTATCGTAGCTTACGGCGAAAACCTAACACAATATCCTTAAGTCAAGAAAATAAATCCAGAATCACAGAAAGCTTGAAACGAAAGCGAAAATCCATGGAAAAAACAGCATTAACACGCAGAAGAGCAAAATCCAGATAGAAAGAGAAAGAGAGAGTGCATGATTGAGGGAGAGGGAGATAAAATAATAGAAAGGGAGAGCATGCACAATGGGGGGGTGGGCGCTGCTCAAACAAATGCAATGACCTGAATTTGGAGCATTTTGTGCAAGGAAATGTGGCAAAGGGAGGAATGGGAGAAGAAGAGGCAGCAGAAGGACAAGAAAAGGCACTGGGGGAAAACACAAGTGTTGTGAATACATAAGAATGTATAACAAAAGGCAGGATTTTCTAAATAGGTTTGTCCACGGAAACTTACATTTATGAATACAAATTGAAAAAAAAAAAAATAAATCCCTAACCGTTTATTAGCAAATTAATTCACAAATTTTCTCTCCATTTGAATCCCCATTCATAACTTTCTCTCATTCAAAAGGGTTATTCCGCCACAACCCCTACAAAGGTTACCGTTGTTTCACATCTCCGAATATTAAAAAAAAAACGTAAACATGTGTTGCCAAAACATAAGAAAATTAAAGAAAAGGTGCGGCTACTGCGACGCCAGCGTATGCAGCGACGACAACAGCGCAGGCGACAAGTGTTTACAAAAAATTTCGTGCCCGAAAACTGTAACTGTAATTCTTGTTGCCCCTGCCGCACGCCACGTCCCCTGCTGCGCATGAATGTATGCGTGAGCCATGGCGTGTCCTTGTGCCTAACACAACAGCAAAAGCAGCAGCAAAAGCAACAGCAGGAGTGTGAAGGAGAAAGGAAACGAAAGAGAGACTCAATAAAGTGTTGAGGGGGGCCCAGGCCAAGGTACATTCCTAAGCAGGTATGGAAGTCCAAGATACTGATGTATCTATAATTTAGTGTATTATAATGTGACTCATTCCCGCTGTTTAGTTAAAATCACCCTCTGTTATAAACAATCGAAACTTCAAAAAATACGCAGCTATGTGTTGATCTGCGAATCCCTCACCCCACATAAATCTACCTTGCAAAGGGCCACCCACCCATTTTGCAGTTGTCAAAGTCTACACTTGCCTTTGGTTCGCCTTCCTCTCTCTCTCTCTATCTCTCTTTGCCAATCCAGCCTTCCTTTCTGCGAGCGGGGAGTGGAGTGGTTGTGCGTAAGCGCGGGGGGGAAAGCAGAGCTGGGTGTGTGTGTGCGGTGGTTTGGGGTGTGTTCCGGAATTTACGTGCTTATTGAATTTTCAGCCCAAAAACGAGTTGCGCAAAAAAGAACCGAGAGCTGGTGCTGTCGCTTTGAACAGCAATTAATTTCAATTAAATTAAGATCCGGGGCTTGAATTTTCTCATGGATTTTTGGCTGTTGCTCCGGTTTTCTTCTTTTGCGATGCTGCGCCCTTCACACAAAAACATATATACACACAATAGAGCGAGAACTTAGGGAATTTTTTACGCATAAAAATTTTATCAAGTGACAAACTAAAAAAAACGCGCCCTTGAGCAAATGAACGGTGAAAAACCATCGGTACACACTATTTTATTTGTCAATCGCTGTATTCCACTTGCACGCAAATTTTGTCCACTGTTCGAAGGCTTAGAACGCGCTAATAGATGCAATTTTATTGCATTTTTCACTGCTTGCTGCAGGCTGGAGGATTGGCTGCGGCGAACCGTGTTTTCTCACCCCGCTCACGACATTTAAACAGCTCGAAAAGTGTTAACTATTAATAATTTTCCGCTCGCTCTAAATTTTGACTGTTTGCAATTTATTTAATTAACCCTAGTCGCACCACTATGAAATACGTGTTTATCGGAGCTCACTTTTTGACGAATAAATGAGACCGCACAATGGATAAGTTGAACTTTTGATTGCGCCGCAAGGATAAGGGTGTGAGGTGTGACGTATGACGTCACAAAATGAAGAGCTTTCAAGAGAAATAGCCACCTCACCACATAACTCACCGTGCGGGATTTTGTGCTTTCACGCAAACATGGTATATGTATTCCGTCAGGCTAGGGTGGCGCCCTTAAAAGAAGTTTGGCCGTCTTAATACTGGGGCCTTGCCATAACACAGTCGAAAGAGAGCACTCAAAACGCTCTCTGGACTCATTTATGCGTTTAAATTGTGAGCCACAATCGATAGTATCGATATTTTACTGCTAGCCTTTACTATCGACAGTTATGCGACTATCATGATAGTATTGAAATAAACAAATAATTTTATCCGATAGATATAAAAATTTTCTGCAAGATTGGCAAGTTTTCAGAAGTCTCTTTTATTGGATTATTTACATATTAAGGTTCAAACAAAAACAACATAAAACGAATGTGACGTCGTTTTTGTGGCGTTGCCAGACTCGTGCAATTCGTAGTTGCTGCGGGCTGCCATACCATGATATTTTGTGATATGAAATTCGTCAATTTTGATATTCAGTTTAATATTACTAGATACTTGGCCCTCTCAGCCCTAAACAAATAGTTTTATCCGATAGATACATCAATTTTGTTCAGGATCGGCTAGTTTTCAGAACTCTTTTTCATGGGATTGGGTCAAACAAAACCAGCCAAAGCATAAAACGTAAATGTTGACTAAATGTTTCGTCAGTGTTGCTGGTCAACCAAGTTTTTTCTATGCGTATGTACCTTTGTGTACCGTATTTCCTTTAATTGATGCTAAATATGTTGTTCCAAGCTCCATTGAAACATTATTTATTTTTATCCCAGATTGACATGTTTTTTACCTATATATGCACATGTTTGTGTTTTATATATACATTTATCCCGGTTCTGATACCTATTATTGGAACCCGTGAGCTGCAAAATTTCGTTAATATCTTTTAAAACAGAGACTGAGTAGTTTCGGCATTAATTGGAGCCTGAAATTACAAACAATATATCAAGTCCATAATATCCATTTTCCTAAGGTATGCAGATTGTTGCTCATTCCGTGCCAAAGTTGCACAACAATGCTGCCAATTCATTTCCCCATGTTGCTGAAATTTTTCCCATACAAATCAAATGTATCTTTCGGGAACGTCGCAGCATGAATCTACGTTCCAAATAATCCGTTACAAATGAAACGGTTTACTTACGCGTTTTCAACTTTCAGCCAATCAAATCGTTCGAAATTTTCTTACGGGAACGTAGATTCATTGCTGCGACGTTCCATCCGCGTTCCCGTTAGGAACATGTGGCTTACTCCACGAAAATGAGGGGAAAGTCACCACGAAAGCGCTCTCTTCACCTCGGAAAAGAGATCAAATTTTGAAAAACCACCACGAATTGAGAGCGAAAAATGTACATAACATAACATGTACATAACATTCAAAGCGCAACAAATGGTCGTTAAATTCAAAATTTCTGTTAATTTTACCGTGGTGCTGAGGGAAGGAATGGATTACATTACTATATCCGATTGTATATAGGATATCCTATAGGATATCCTGTTCCGGATATTCTGCCTTCCCAGACCTATCTAGGGGAATTTAAATAAAATCGAAAGAAACCGTGTCGTGTTTTAAGAGTATTTTTAATCCTTTCCTTTCAGATAACTATACATACATATATAAATCGGGAATGGAATGCTAGCCACGTCTCATTGTTAGTGCCAATGGGGCCAATGGGGCAACAATTAAGGCCCCCTGCCTTGTCCTGGCACTTTTTTCCGAAAAGTTCCGTTTCTGCAACCAGTATCAATGTAATTGGTAAGTAGCAAGCACAGGCACCGGATTATCACGCAAATTATAAATTTTATTGCATTTTTGGTGCAACTGCAATTAGCCCATTCAGTTTTTATGAACCTTTTGGTGTATATTCATATGTATCAAAACTGAATGGATTAATTGCAGATATAATGCATTGAAATTGCAGATTGATCCGCCACCACAACCGGCCTAACATACCTCTGCCCGAACCAATTGCACCGTCGCACAGAGGGGCCTCAACCACAAAGAGGTGGCAAAAGTCAATGAATTTTCACGATCCATTTCTCAAAATCTGATCCTAGTGGTAAATCGTTGTATAACTTAACATTTCCTTTAGTGTGCTTTTAATAACATACCCGAGCCTTGCATGGAATAGATCTTTTGACATCCGTCCCCATTCGCCTTCAATCTTTTTTTATACCCGTACTCAAAAAAGAGTTAAGGGGTATATTAGATTTGTGGTAAAAGTGGATGTGTGCAACGCAGAGAAGGAAACGTTTCCGACCCCATAAAGTATATATATTCTTGATCAGAATCAATAGCCGAGTCGATATAGCCATGTCTGTCTGTCCGTCTGTCTGTCTGTCTGTCTGTCTGTCTGCCTGTCTGTCTGTCCGTCTTGTTGAGCGCCTAGATCTCAGAGACTATAAGAGCTAGGGCAACCAAATTTGGGTTCCAGACTCATGTGATATCACACTGCTACAAGTGTATTTCAAAATTTCGCCCCGCCCCCTTCCGCCCCCACAAAGGACGAAAATCTGTGGCAGGCATAAGCTCAAAAATGTATATACTGACTGAGTACGGGTATAAGTAGAGTCGCGTCCCCAGAAAACTCACACGTTCCTTCTCGTTTACCATTGGAAATCGATGGAGAAGAGATGCCACAATATTTAGAAATCTTTTCCTTGGTTTCAGTGGTGGGTTTTTTCTCCAGCAATCAGCTGATAGAAAATCCTAATCTAATAAAATATTAATGGATGGTTAGAAATGCCGATTATGCCTCGTATGTACAAGTTACAAGTCCAACCTTGATTGTTTATCTAGATTTGCCATTAATTGTATTGGCATTACATTACCCAAAACAGCTCCTACTGTACATTTAGTAATTTCAGCTTTTTGAGTTCATGAATTTCGTTTGCCACTTTAAAGCCTTTATGAGAGCTGAGAGATAGCCCTTACCATACCGAAAACACACCATGCTCAGTGGCGTAGCTACGTACGTGCAAGACGGTGGGGCCCCCAGGCTCATGGGCCCAGACTCTGACAAAAAAATCACCAAAAAATCTCTCACACCTCACTTCTGTTTGAAATGCAAGCATTAATTCCACTTGTATAATTAAGCGTCGTTTAAAGTATTCTTCATAAAATTCTATGGAGAAACGGCTGGAGTAACGTTCAAAACGGTAAAATATGATTTTCGGAGGGTTTATCAACCAATTTCAGATGAGCCTTTTCTTCATTAATTAATATGCACCTATAAACAAAAAAAAATAAATTAAAAAAAACGAGAAGGAACGTGTGAGTCGCTTCTATGGACGCGAGTATTCAGTCGGTATATAAATTTGTGAGCTTATGATGATGATGTTCCCCAATAGCATGGGTCCAATTCAGCAATATGATGGGCTTCTGCTTTCAATAATAAAGACGACTCTCTCCTTTTCGTGCAGAGAATTACTGAAGTTTTTATTTCATCTTTTCCCTACTTATAGGGCTGAAACTTAGTATATAATGTACATAAAGTGTACATAGTGTTTCGACACCGGAGACTGCTGGCTTCGGTCCTCGCCGGATGTTGATTCGAATGTGTGTACATTTGAATCTCTGCTGTTGTGGCGGGATGTGCTGTCGCAGACGATGTCCGGGTTGAACGTTCTCTCTGCGTTTTTAGTTCTATCGTATCTTAAAAATTGTGCCTGACACAGATTATCGTCCTTTGTGGTGGAGGAAGGGGGCGGGGCGAAATTTTGAAATATACTTGTAGCAGTGCATTCGTCTGGAAACAAAATTTGGTTGCTCTAGCTCTTATAGTCTCTGAGATCTAGGCGTTCATCAAGACAGACAGACAGACATAGAATCGGCTATTGATGCTGATCAAGAGTATATATACTTTATGGGGTCGGAAACGCTTCCTTCTCTGCGTTGCACACATCCACTTTTACCACAAATCGAATATACCCCTTAACTCTTTTTTGAGTACGGGTATAAAAAAAGCAAAATAGCACAAGAAGAAAATACCTGAAGACCGCCAAGAAGTCGCCAAGAAAAAAAATGCAATCCAATAAACCAAAAAAATAAAATAAAAGCCTCCACTGGAACAAGCAAAAAGGAGTTTAATTTTCAGAGGTTTTCCTTCGCTCATCAGATCAGAGCAGAGCAGAGCGGGGAGTGTTCTGAATATATGTATTATAGGTATTATAGGTATTATAGGTAGATAATTTCACACTCTCTATGAGTTGCTTTAGAGCTTTTCTGTGCTGCTTTCTGAGGCATATGAGTGAAATACAGTCAATGGATTACCTTCAGGCGTATCTATCAGAAGTTGCTGAGACTTCGAAATTTCAATTTGAAAGAAAATACAAAAAATTCTACCAAAACATAAACTGACAAAAATCAATAGATTTTGCATGTGTTTTACTTGCTTGGAAAAGTATTTCATCTAGTTAGCATTTACTTTTCTGTTCGTATCGTTTGATTTGAGGCTGGGCAATATTTCATTCTAACACTGATTTTCGACCTGTACGGTAGTTTTTATTTATTTTTTTTTTATTTGACTTAGCGTAAAACAAAATTTCGATCTTGTAAAAAATTTTAAGTTTTAAGTTTACTCAATTCCCATTAATTCCCATGACTCGCGTCGCAGGACTCAGCCGCGGTGGTCAGGCCCCCCCCCACAAAAGGTGCAGCAATTGAAGATGCCACTGGTGCTTGCGCTTGGGCCTGCAGTTGACACAGTAGCAGGGCTGCATAGAGGGACTGATGGATGTAAGGCTGTCGCATGACGTCCAGCACCTGCTCCAGTTGGTCTTGATTGTTGGTGCCGTTGGCGGGCCCTCTCCTTCAGTGCGGTCCCCCTGATTGATAACGGCCTGTATATTGGCCTTCAACCGTTCGTTCTTCATTCTCAGTGTCTCTATCTCCCTTTTCAGATGTCTATTTATCG